ACTGCAAATCCATTTTTCAGTGACCGTCACCACCACTATCATCTTTGGCAAAGAAGAAACTAGACTCTAATTGAGAAGGAAATCATAAAGATGTTAAAAATTGGTGGATCACATGTCGTGGAAGTGATCAAACCCCATCACAAAGTAAGCCCTCAATGCAAGACAAAATAAGTAGGCTAAAAATAGATGGAGTTTAAAATCGGAGGCATTGATAGTAAGGGTAAAATTCAGTTGACATCAACTAGAAAGGAGAACCAGAATTGGTTAAAGATTCCTGATCAGCAGCCTATGTCCTATGTGAGGTAGCAGGCTTGAGTAAGTAAGTGTTATTTAATAATGAAGTACAACCTTGAACTTGTGAACAACGCTTATAAACAAGCATATAGTACTATGTAACGTATTCTACAAGCTACCATCCAATTATCGCTTTCACTTAAAATGTTATAGTTCATAATGAAATCTGACATTACAATTTTGTTACCAGCAATTCGTGTTGAAAGATATATGAAACCTCCAAAAAAACCCAAGATCATCACAAATGATATAAAGTAGCCTAACTGTAACATATAAAAAAAATTCTATTTCTTAATTTATATCCCCAAAAATATCTTTGAATATCAACTCCTGTTGATGAAATAGGCAGAAATTCATTTAGATATTTAATGACTGATATTAAGTTATCAGTTGTAAATTGAACAAATTGAATAAAATTTGTCATTATGATAGGATACGTTCTAATTTTATCTTAGTTAAAAAATATATTGAAAGAATTAGTCCCTGTTAATAAATTTGAATAGTCTAATAAGAAGACGAAGATTATCAGAACTATATGATGTATTAACGAGATTTATTTCTAACAATCTGATCATATGTATAGTTGTTAAGATCAATTATATATATTGAGAAAAACTGAAGGTCAAGGAGACAAATGGAAAGTATGGGGAAACAAAGATATTAGTGAAGAAAATAATGTACAACAAACGAACTATGTGAAATCAACCACATTACATAATAAAACGACATTACCAGGTTTGTTTTAATGTGAGAACAAACCGTTTCTGAATACATAAAAGGGGGAGGGGTGTTTAAATTTTCATATGATCAAAACTGCAATAAAACAAGCTTTAGCAATAAAAGAGAATGAATACTTATTATCTATTTTTATTGAGTCATTTAATTTTGCTTAGTTTTGTAACTCAGAATATTACGGAATCGTTGGCCAAGCACAATCAGAAACAACTTCTGGGTTTGAAGCGGTTATGAGTTCACTTAGACTGCGAACGGAACAAAGACCTGTGAACAAAGACTAATAAATTAGCTATTCTATTGCCACGCTAACTAGAGAGACAAGTCGAAGTTCGAACGAGGAAGTATATTCCGCAAAAAGCCAGAAACACTAGCGATAACAACAGACACAAATCAAAACGTATATATACAGCACAAAACCGTCCTTGGGAAGTGTTACAAAATAGCATACTAAAAGACACAACGACCAATAGCGTTTGAGATTCTCCCATGTGGGAAGTACGACGTGAAGGTGAAGTGTTTTTGGCGCGAAAACAAAGAAATTCAAATTTCCTAAATAAAATCACAAAACTAGGTCCTTTTCTAAGTGAGTTATGTTGATCTAAGGTCCCCAACACACTTCCCCTTTTCAATGGCGTATTTCCCTGGGGTCGACTTGCATCTTGACTGTTGTTCGCTGCTGTCGGAGAGGCCACCTTTTGAAACGGATATCAGCTTGTTGTTCAGCTTTTTCTCGTGGTGGGAGAGTACAAACCAGATCCCAGTGGAGGGATAAATCAGGAAGAAGCGCTGGAAGTTGATAGGACACACTTTGAGGAAAGCACCCGAGTGCGTCACAAGTCAAGTGCTCACTTGGAATCTTCAAGGCCAAAGGAGAAGGGAAAGACCAAAGAACATATTACGCCAAAAAATGGAGACAAATAAGAAGAATGAATAAAAATAGGATAGAACTAGAAAAAAAGTCTTAGGACAGGGTGGGTTGGAGAATGTTGGTCGGCAGCCTATGCTCCATTGTGTGTAACAGGCGTAAGTAAGTAAGTTAGTAATCGGTAACTATTTAGATACATGTTCAGAAACCCTAAATTAATAAACATATATTTGATCAGATTGTTTTAAATTTATTGTTTAACTATATTACATATTTCTGATAGTTTTCGTATTCTTATTACATTACCGTAAAATTGTATAATTTCAAGAAAGAAAATTATCCGTATAAAAATATCCTGTTGTCGAAATATGTCAGAATATTTTGCTTTGAAATTTTAAGTGATTACCTTTTATTCATGAACATTCACAAGTCTGATTCGTGTATCCATATGTTTAGTTGAAAAAATATAAACCATACATAAAGTTAACTAACTAATTATAATTTGAGATGCAGGTACATCCAGCTGACGAGTCCCAAACAAGACGAAACGTGCGTCCTGGGTTCCACTGCTAGCCATTATCCATCTTTGCTTATAAAAGCTTGTGAATGAAGGCAATATCGAAGCATACGCACAGTATGCACATATGCCAATAATAGACTGATCGATTGCAGTCTTAAACCTCAATGGGAAGTTACAAGCAAAACAATACCAAATGAATATGTATCAATATGTTACAAATATAATCCATTGTTATGTGCCTACATTATTAAAACATTTTTCATTGTTCTAACCACATTTTATTTTATATCATACACAAATTCCTTTATTATCTTCATGTATTTATTATCATTATTGGGTTTACGATTTCCCTACTTACGGTTTTGAAACCTTTAGAGCCTAAACTACTGATACCATTATAGTTCTTATTCATTATAATTAAACTGACCAACAAATCAACTCTCTTCTGTTTTGTTTATTCTTATAAGTACATATTTAGTTAGATCGCTTATGGGTTATCATTTAATGAATATAAACGTATATGTGTTGATGCAAACAAAAGCAGATAACTTAATAAAATATCTAGATGACAAGAGCAGGTGGCCTATATATTTAAATATCACTATAAAAATAGATTCACGTGAATATACACAGGAAACTAGTAACGGTGCTTTTATTCAATTCATATTAAATCTTTGGTGTAGAGCATATGATTGTACAATCTAGTACCTTACTTTTCGAATTACAGTTAGTCCACATTGTTGAGTAACGGCCACTAACTGAAATCTCTCACTTTTGACAAGTTTTAACTTCATTAATCGGGATTTCCCAAATTAGGAGTTTATAGATTTTAACATGATAAAAGTCATGCTCTCACTAGTGATCAACTTTATGAGAAACCGTGACCAATGGAGTTTAGATAAGTTGTGAAAGAGATAGGTATTATTGGTAAAAATCAGTGATCGTCGAACAATACTACAAATTGACTAACATTAGAACTGTGAAACACCGAGTGTGAACTCAGTAGTCTGGATAGAGCTTGTTTGTTAAGGGGCATCAATGTCCGTGGTTCAATATCCAACAGGGTTCTTGGCGTGTATCATTAGACAATTCCTTATCAGCACTAAACATGTTTTTAATATGACCTTATTTTCAATGGTTATTTAGCCTAAGTAAGTTTAAGATGTGAGCCAACTTCAAATTAAATGATTTCCATGATGCTCAAATTTCAATAGTTATGGATAGACATTGTTTAATGGCCTTCGATGTGGTGCTTCTTGAGAGACTATAAAATCCAGAATATTATCAGTGAAAATTTTCCATCTTCTATTATTAAAATGTCAGATAGTAACTCTGCCTTGTTTAAGTATAACAAAGTAACAGTATCATATTTAATTGACTTATGAAATAAGTAACCGTAAAATATTATTCTAAAGCAATAATCTTCCAACTATCCAGGCTACATGACTACTTTTTGAAGATAAACTACTTATGTCTACGAAATAAAGTTTACCAGATCTTGGTTCTAAGTAAAGATGAATCATGATTTTGACTAAGATTTATCTACAGGCTTTTATCTAGATAATAATATGGTTGGGAAATTTGATTCAATGTTAGGGATAGTATTCTATGCATTTGAGTTATAAATTCCGTTAGGTATTCACCCATTTTAAACTAATACAGTATCTTTGACTCTTGATTAAAACTATTAGCTTGAATTGTAGCTAACTGTTAATTGTCTTTCTTCGTAATTTATTTAGAAAACTACAAGTAGTATATTAAAAAAAACTAATGATTTCTTGGAGTGTTGTTTTACTTCTTAATATTGCATGATTGTTTTATCCATCAATCATTTTACTGACCGAGCTTAAATTGTATAGTTAATAAATGTTTATATTAGTTGCTTTTTCTGTTAGGTAACAATAACGTTTACTGAAAAACACATACATATCATTTATCACACCAACATTATAGGTTTTATGAGGGTAAATGATTTATGTTATACCGGGCTATCTTTAGAATTACAGTATTGAAGATGATATGAATATTAACATTTCGACGTACAGCTACCAATTAGTATAAACAACTTCAGCCACTCTGAACACTAAATATTTGAAAGCCAAACGTGTATTCTATCACAGCCGCTTCAATCGCATGCCCTACATTTTATGCACTGTAATAGCGAGATATAGAAATATGTTTTTCTCAGATCTATTTGTGATTATCATACAAAAAGTTTTGTTAAATTTTAAGCTTATTATTCAAACGATATCCGTAATAAACACTATTTATTGATGCTTGAATTGAATGAAACAAGCAGAAACAAGGTTAATCTATGATATCGGTTAATAAAACGAACGACTATTTTCATATGTTATTATCTACTGTTAGATCATAACTTCTAGGATAAGCTCATAGAAACTGTACTATTTGCTAGATGTTGCTTGAAACAGAAACCTACAGTACTGAAAGAAACCTATGCTTTTATTGTTTCAATGTTTACTGTATTGGTCCTTATTCATATTTTTTATATTAGTTGTAAGAACTAAAGATAATCAGTACTGATAGTTAAAGTTAGCCAAATCAACTTCAATGAGTAGGTTAAGAAATAAAATTATCTAATAAGTTTCATTCACAGACTATCCAATTACTGAAATAAAAATTTATGAAACTGTTCAAAGTTACCTTACAATCAATTTATAACATGTTTGAACCTCATTCTATTAACTCAGCTTAACCTATGGGATAATATTACTAGTCATAATAAAAATACTGTGACTCATATAGTTCATAAACATTTACTTGATTCAAGCTACCGAAAATATATTATCCTTCTTACAACGTAACAAAACAATGACAACAAGTAGTGATATAACATCTGATTGAATATTGATGCTCACTATTCCATACTCCACCTTACCATACATCAATAATATTCAAATTAAAATGTTAAAATAATAAATCTTCAATAACAAAGTAGAAACCATATAAAATTTAATATTTAAGATAATGTATTGTACATAAACAAATCAAAAAATAGTATTTTATTCATTATTTATTAATAAATTATTTTAATCAACGAATCTTCATCTAAACATTTAATTATACTCAACTTGTTTATCAAAATAAACAAGCAAACAAACAAGAATCGTGCGAGCGAGATCGTGGATGAGCACAATAGGACGAAATGGCCGTCCAGTGCTTCCAGGTTTTCAACGATAGTCTAACACAAATCGGTTTATGATGTCAAGTAAAAAACAAAACAAATAAATAAAACAAATAAACGTACAACACCACACACTTTATAGAAATCTATTCAAATTTATTTATGGTTATTTAATGATTTTTTTCTACAAAATATTTCAATATAAATATAGGTTGATATTGAATTCAATATTCAATAATACTAATTGATCAATTACATTTGTATCATATACTCTTTTAATAAATTCATAAAAACTAATTTTTCTCAAAAAAAGAAAAGGAAAAAAAATTAACAAACATTAAATATGAAAAGTAATTGTGAACGTTTCTGTTCATGAAAAAAAAAAAAACAAATTACCAAAAAAATTTTTTTTTAATTTTTCTTATGGAATAACTACTGCATTGTTATGATTAGTAATTTGTAATGAAATCAATTGTGATTATTCCTTTTCATGAAGGAACAAAACAAACTGCCAAAAAAACGTTTAATTATTTTTTAGATTATATATATATTTTTTAAAAATTTTAATGAAATAACTACTGTACAATTATTGGTAATATTATCATTAATAATTTGTAATGAACTCAATTGCTAATGTTTCTTTTCATGAAAGAATAAAACAAAACAAAAACAAACTACCAAGAAATGTTTTTTTGTATTTTTTTAAGTTTTTTAAAAAATTTTTTATGGAATAACTACTGTACAATTATCAGTAATATTATAATTAGTAATTTGTATAAATGTATCATTATTATAAACACAATAAATACCAAAATAATTTTGTAAATTTATTAATAATCTACATAAAATACTTATAATAAGAATTAAAAATAAAATTATTATAAAAATAATTCTATTTCTTAAAATAATTTTATTAAATGAATTTTTTTGTTTTATTGATTGATGATTTTTTTCATTTTTTAAATGGTAAAATTGATGATTTTTTTGTGGAATATTAATATCTGCTTGTAATAGAAGAAAAGAAAGAAAAGAAAAAGAAAAAAAATGAAAATTTTGTTTCATTAAAGCTTAATTATATATGTTGTGGAATGTGTTAAAGTTTTTTTATTTTGGCAAGACTATGATTTATGATTGAACCAATTAGATTTAGGATAACAGATCTTAAATTTTTGGCGCGAAATTCCTTGACTTATTCGTTTAAATAGCGTATTGGCATTTTAGTTGTTGTTATTTGGTGATGTAAATCATAAATATTAAATCCTAACGCTTATCATTAACTGTAAATCATTGTCTTTATTCTTTAAATTGCTTTATAACATTCTCTTAGGTCTATTAAGTAGGTAGACACTCTCAATGTCATTTTGGCGTCGATCAAAGTTCGTCCATAAATTATAGTCTCACCGTTTTTATATATTAGGTTTAATGTTAGATTGACAAAATTATTGGTTAAATGAAAAATATTTAGCCAATGGATTAAATAGATACAGATTTTGGAATGGTTCAGTTCTTTAAGTCCAATGGTTGAACTATGGAGCTATCATGTAGAAGTATGCTTTGAAGTTATCTCACTAGTTTCAAGTTACTTTGTTCTGGTAACCCTGTTAATAACTGATTGTAGTCGTAGATTTTGTTGCTTTCTTTTATGCTTGTATTTAAATTAACTATCTTATTTTCGTTGATCACTGACAAAGGTCAATCAATAACATGTTTAGAAGTCAGTGTTAGCTACATAATTAAAGCATTAGGCTCAGATGACTGAACAATATCAAAGTATCCAACTGAACTATAAATCTTATCCATCATATTATATATATATATATATATATATATATATATATACGACTGAACTCAAAAAGACTTGCTTTTTGTTGAAATTTAGTGAGAGCTCTTCCAAATCTAATGATTTAAATGGTTTGTAGGTGCTCGGAATGCGAGAATTACTCACCAGATAACGCTTACACCACACAGAGGATCGATTGAAATTAGAAATGCAGGTCATTTGATAGGGACTCTTTAGTTAAACAATACTGTGTTTAACACAAAACGTCAATGTTCCAAGTTCAACTCTATGTGTGGTAGTGACTTGAGGGTTCTGGAAAGTGAATTTTTACTGATTTTTTAGTAGTGATGATAAAAACTAAAAACACAACCTTTTGTCAATCGTCTTAACTGAATCATCACCTGAAAATTTAAACGAGCGTTATATTTGCCTAATAAACATACGGTTGCCATAAAAACGACCTATAATGTTGAGAAGTAATTCACAAAACCGATCTCGATAACACAACGTATTTTTCAGCTTGGAACAAGCAACAACAGGTAGAATGAACTAACTGTATCAACCTTGGAAATCTTATCAGAAATACGAACAAATGCAACATGGTTCACAAACATCCATGTAAACTGTTCTTTTCAAAAGTCCTTTTATTAATAAGGCTATCCAAATATTTCTTGAAAACTGTAATTATACTTCTTAAAGAAACAATCGCATACAATTCAATAGTTTTCAAATATTTTAAAATAAATTTTCAAATAATTGAGACCATTGCTGTTATCTAGATTGTATAACATAGAGCAATTTATGCAAAAATAAACATGAGTGGGAAGCTTTTTGCAAGTAGTATGTAGTACAAAGGAAAGAGATTACTCATGAAGCGCATCAATGGATAAAATATCGATTTCTAGTTATGTAAAAAAAGTGTAACTCCTTGCATGCACGACGAAATATGACTTGTTGACAGATAAGGCGTAAATGTTGTTTAATTTAAAACAAATTAAGATTTCAGGAATTTTCAAGAATTTCGGTTCATTATTCTAATTCGACACGATATTAATGAGCAAATTTATCTATCTGTCAAGTTGTCTTAAAAATTTGTATTTTGTCCCTTCTTCCCCGACTGTTGCTTCAACGGCACCAATGAGCTTAGATGACTAGCAATCGCCAGATAAGAATATTCAGACAATTTCTACCCTTTTATTTCACTATTCATATGTTGGCCTGCACAAACTTTTTTTAACAGCTTAAATAAACTCCAGAATAATGGATTATTGCCTTCAGTCTTATTTACTACTACAAATAATAAAAGTAGTTCTTAAACTGTATGTTACAATGTTTAAAAGAAGATTTCATAACACTTGATAAAATAGAAAAACCATACTGCAATACTTCATTTGCAAAATGTTTATTAATTGTCTCAGACCTCATTGTTCTTAAATTTTCATACTCATTGATTATTCCCCCATTCTTTCTTCCTCAGTCTTCTCAACCTTCTGCTACCAGACATTCTATTCCTGACTAGCGTTATATACTAGTCATGTCGATATAAGTAGTATACACCACAGATGCATTTAAAATCTATAGAAACCATTTTAGTTGCAACAATTATTAAATTAATTATTCTATTAATTATCACATTCATTCTTAGACTGTTGAATATAGGTATTTGAAAGAATTAACTAGATAAATTAAGTATATACATTTTATGTATTCAGTTATTTTGTGTATTTATAATTTTACCTACCATCATCAACGTTCACAATCCCAGTAGCAGTAAGTTCACCAAGATTTTTCATAGCCATTTCTGATGATTCATTCTCTATTTTTATTCTTTCTTTAGCCTACAGATATACAAAGAAACAATAAATTAATAGAACTAATGATTCAAAAACAAGAAACAAACAAACATTAGCTATAGGAACATTTGGATTATTTTGCATAATTGAGTCATAATATTTTAAAATATTCGTCATAAATATGAATAATATGACACGTAATAAGTATTTATTAGATACAATGGACGGAACAAAATCAATTTACATAAAAGTATAATATACAGATGTATTTTTGATTTTGGTGATACATTTTTGAAATGCTTCAAAAACAGATTAGTGAAAATATCTTACAATACTTCAATGATCAATATCTATTGGATATAAATTATATTAAAATATTATCCATACAAGCGCTCAATTAGCTTCTATTTCATTAAAGATTAATCAAATTTTGGTATCAAATGTTAACGACGATAGTTACAATATATAATACTTCTTAAACTTCTACGTTGCGTATTACATAACTTTTTCTAGTAAATTCTGATCGATATTAATGTGTGCTGAAAAACATAAGTAGTATGGAACATCAGTCAGAAATGGAATGCTTGTCAAAAGAAGGTTGAGAAGATTGAATTGAAGAAAACAAAAAAGAAACATAAAGAAGGGGAGGTGATATGATGGAAAGAAAGTCAATATTCGATTGATTTACTCATTATGAGTTTTATTCAACATTACTTGTGTTTTGATTCAATGTAATTATTACTGAATGTAGTATTTATTTTCTTTTCTCGTATGATATTTTATTTTGTATAATATACGATATTCTTGTATTTAATTGACATGAACTATGCTCTATATGTGATTTGTGATAACTGAGTATTTTTCATATATGTGATTTCATTCTAATTATTAATCAAAATGGGTGCACGATCAATATATAAATGAGTGTATTTTCGACTAAGGTCGTCGTCGTCATCATAGTGTTTTGGGGCTAATATAACTTCGCTTATATTAGTCTTGTGTTCTTACTTTCGCGTAGTGGGAATTGTGGAGGTCCCTTCGTTCCGAGCATAAGTGGTCAGCGATTCCGACATAACAAATCAGCGACGACCAGATACAAAGTAGCATTCGATTCACAAGTCATAACAACTGGCGACGAGGATTTTGGAAAACATTCACAAGACATAACAGTTAGAATTGAAAGAATCATGATGTATTTTAGAGGATAATTGATGAAAGGTTTGCAAATGAAGTATTTAATGTATGGTTTTCACATTTTATGTAAAAACTCTGTAATTTTGTATTAAACAACAAATTGGTTGTTCCCACCTGAGTGTTCGTTTACTTCACTTTTAAAAATCAATTGAATACCATTCGTAATAAATAACGTCGTACACAGAAATAAATAATCATCAACATTTACATCAGTTTAGAATACATTCTCAGATACAATAGAAATGTACAATTCAACTATCCTGATTTCATATCTCACATTTAAAAGTAATAAAGTCGATATGTAGAATATAAATTCCTCAAATCATTAACTGGCAAAAATGATAATAATTGTCTTTCTTGAGTAAATTGAAGCTAGATCAACATGGAAAACTTGGAAGCACCGAGCGGCCATTTCGTCCTAGTATTGGACTCCACAGTAATGTGCATCCAAGATTCCGCCAGCCGGGTTTGAACCCAGGATCTTGTGTCTTGCTTGCGAATGCTTAACCTCTAGACCACTGAGCTGACCGACATCCAACGGTATTAATGTCTAACTTCAGCCGATCTACGAAACAATTGTCTTCAGTGAGCTACTATTTCACAAGAGACCCGGTTGAACTCCAACGAGGAGTCCCATACTAGGATGAAACGACCGTTCAGTGCCTCTTGGTTTGCCATGGTAATCTAGCTTTAATTGACTGATTAATTCAACTATTAAATTGCTATAATATATATATATATATATATATATATATATTTGTGTATTTGATTGGTACATTTTGGTATATCATTATTGTTCTAGATGGAATAAGATGGTCTTTTTTGTTTTGAAAATTAAAATTACTTTCGATATTTATTATTATTTTAAATCAAATACCATTACATACCAGTTTGATTTGTGTTGTCCAATTCAAACGGAAACATATTATGCATAATGTAGACACTTGTAATGTTGCAGCACTAACGAGACCGACCCAAATACCTGTTTTATAACATAAAACGTATATTATATAACGATATGATTATAATATTTTTACTTCTTGTCTAAAACTAAGCAGTTAATTAATGTAAATCAGATTAAAAAAGACGAATAAGCAATTCATCGATTGTACTGTTCACAGATTAAATCAGATTTCATAATGTTAATGATTACTCATATTTCACTTTCGTATTCTTAACTTATCAATCAATATGCAGTAGCATTTTATTATTAGAAATAATAAGATAAAGAAACTAATTTAGTTAATAACATCTTACTCGTTTGATAATTAGTGTGCTAGTGAACTGGTATTGTTCAATAAATGAAGAGAAATAGACATCCAGTCTTGCTAAACATTAAAACACTAATGCTGTGAATCCTTTTCTTTGATTATTTTCTATACTGGATTAACTAGATGTGAACTGATCGCATTTTTATTAGTATAGGGTTGTGGAAATTGTTGAGTTTTGATTGAGATCATGGTCCATTCATGATTGTATTTTATTTTAATAAATTATTCATTCTCTATTATTTGGTTCTCTGTTGTCAGTTGGATATTATATCAGTATTTATCAAGTGATCCAGCATAATGATCGAACTGTTTAATATTGTGATCCAATGCATTCAGTAATATTATTCAGTCAATATCTAGTGATCGCATAATTTAATGAACAAGTAGTATTGTCATATCATTGTATTATATTGTGAAGAAAAAAACACTTTTTATCCCTATGATATCAGTACTATTTATTGATAAGCTTCATGCTGGCATCTAACTAATATTTCACAAAACTTCCAATTAAATACTTTCAGCTCGAATGTACCTTTTCTCAAAATCAAAGCGTATTTTTACAGTAAAAGTTGACGATTGTTTGAGAAATGGAATTAAAATAATGTTACTATGCAATTATTTGGACTATTGATAATAAACGCAAACAGTGTTCAGTAACATCTTTTGTTGGAATTAAACTGATTTTAATAAACCCCACCACGTATAAAAGCTGACTTTAAATCCTGTTGGTGTGTGATGAATAGCTCTCAATCCTTTAGTAATATCTACTGTGCGTTCAATATTAATAAATTGGGATAAAACTAAGCTGTTATTTTACTTGGTTTGAGTCAGTAGTCTTAAACTTTATGCTTAAAGAAAATCTGTACTCTTGTAACCTTTTGATTGTTAAAACACGGCCAAGTAAATGGTTTTTTTAGATCATTACTTCCAAGCTAGTTTTTATTTGCATCTTTGCTGTATTTCTCAGCTTCTAAAATATATTGAGGCTTTGAGTACTTACACAATTTGTACAGTAGTATTGAGAAATTGGTAATATGTATAGTGTTTTGATAAGCTGTCTTGTCACCCGAGATTTAACCTAGTTGAAATTTTGAGATTTTTTTGTAGCATTATCATAATATCTTCATCTCATTAAAATCACGAACCGACCAATGTAAGACAACCACTGGAAACTTAGAAGCACTAGACGGCCTCAATGAGAGGCTCGTCACCAGTGCAAATCTAAGATCACGTACTCGGGATTGGAAAACAACCCCTTCGGTCTCGCTCACAATGCTTAACGTATAGACCACAATCTCTACAACCCCAAGCTGGAAAATATCTTCAATATTCATTTCTCTACTATTATCACTACACCCCTTAATATTCAAACAATTTTCATTGACCATCAATTATCGTTATCCACGAGCTGGGCTCAATCGGTTAAGAGTTTAGCATTAAATCATTATGATCGATAATTTCATATGAATGTGAAGTTTAAGAATTTTGTATTGGAGATGAATATTATCCACTTGTATATTTAGATCACATTTATAAAATACAATGTTGATATTGTTACTGATATGAGTTGTTTATGGAGATTGTTGAATTTTATAGCATATATCATCGGTTGATCTTGGTAAGGTAACCACTGAAAATTAGAAAATACTGAGTGGCTGTTTCGTCCTTGTTATCGAAATCCTTAGTGGTGTGCATCATTGGGTATTAATCTATTGGTCTAAATGTTATATGCTCAACGTAGATCGAAACATTTGTCAACAATATTTAGAAACTATTTACGTTGTTTTTCAGAAAAATATGTTGCAGTTACCAAGCTAAATTACATTGTCCAGTCTCACATTATGCTTCAAATATTTCTTTACATACATCAATTATTTTTCCAATTATGGGTTTAAGTGACGAACAAATAAATCATAAGTATAATCTTCAGTGAAGTTAGATGAGAAATATTCAATGTAGTGTAAAGGTAGAATAATTACTTATGGTCAGTAATGTCCAGTTAGGATTTGAAAAAAAAACTCAGTTCACCTACCGGTCAACCTAAGATTTACTACATAAACTAAACAAATCCCAAGTGGTACAGCAAGCATGTAAAGACAGAATATGTTTACAACTGCTCCAACTGTTTGTAAGCCTGATCCTTTCAAGACACCACTACATATACCCTTTAAAGAAATAAGAAAAATATTACGTTATGTAATCTGAGATTAAAAAATCTGTGATAAATTTAATAACAATTATTATTATAATAAAGACTTGTATGAAGAAAGCCATAATCGAATTCTACCATCACTAATGGCTTGACATTACAGTGTTTTGTATTCGTCTGTGCTTAAATAGTGAAAATATTTCCGTCATCCACCATCTAAAAGTAAAGAAATTAATTCAATCGTTTTTTAAGTAGTTTTATAGTTTTAACTTGTTGATTATGACAGGAATTTTTTAGATCTTTATATATCTTAGGAGAAATCGTAATTGATCACTGACGATGTTTCTTGCGACAATGTATACTACTCAACATTTATCTAAAGATAATTGTCAACTTACCAAAGGATAAGGGAGATTTTTTGAAAGTATAGAGAAACAACATGACTGTTAAAGCCAACCATTGTTAAAAGCGAGACAGTTAACAATATTAGATAATTACTGAATTTTATCAGTAATTGACTGTTGAAACTCATTGTGTTCTACACAAGACTTAAACGTCTTTCGCTTTATCTATTACAGCAGTAATGGATGCATACAGCTGAGTAATTTCAAACTAAGATAAATAGGTGCCTAATTTTACCCAGCTTTCCATGGATCTTCAACTCGTCTCAGTTTGTGATGAAACATTACATCAAGCTAACTGGATGATCAACGAAATCCGTCTGTTACATACAACATAATACTGTATGAACTGAACCGTCGATTACTTGAAATGATATGAATGATAATTAATCAGAAAACTCGAGTTTATTAAATCAGAGCTCCAGTATAAGAACTTTGAAAATCAAGATAAATTATCAACAAAATATTTAGTTTTATCGAGCAAATATGGTACATTTGTATACAAAATGTTTGACACAAAAGAAACATATAAGATTTCAGTGAGTTTTATATATGAACTTTGTAAGTCTTTTACGTCCTTTATCGGATTAAATCTTGATTCTCTGGTTTATTATCATTCTCTATATCAAACCTACTATCTGTTTTAGAAAAATTCTCCTACGAATACACAAACAAATTGGATCGCTTCATAAAACAATTAATGAAGCCAAAAAGAGACATTTTACATTTATTTCGAATACTTATTTCTAATTTCTATTACATACAAAAAAAAGCGCTTACATTCGCACCATCGATAATTTGGAAATAAGCTATAATTGGCATTAGTTCAGCGACAAGTTCAATGACGCCACTAAAATGATTAAAAAGTTACAGTGTAAAAAAAAGAAAAGAAAAGGTGATTATTGATTAATTATTTTTTTAGTAATAATAATCAGTCAGATAATCGATTTTATCTTGTACATTCGGGCAATTAATCAATCAATGTAAGTTATGCAGTAAAGGAATTCAAATTTAGAATTTCGTGTTAAAAACAAATACATTTATAGGGAAGATTGAATGAAGTAGAAAAAACATATTAGCTTTTGCTAATTTGTTCCAAAGTATGGTATTCACATATATGGTACTGAGAAATAAATAAATTTGTTGTTATCATAATTATTATTTACAACAATACACTAATTGTGGATTGATTGAAGTTAGACATTAACACCCTTGGATTCCGGTCAGAACAGTAGCCTAGAGGTTAGGCGTTCGCGCGCGAGACCCAAGGTCCTGGATTTGAGTTCCGCGAGCGGGATCGTGGGTGCTCACTGCTGAAGAGTTCCAAACTTAGAAGAAACGACTAACTAATATAGTTGTGTAATTTTTTCCTTTCCCATTATTCACTATATATTGTAGTTTATGTTAAATCGACTTACACTTTGTTTACGATAGGATTATCGAAGAAGATTATGCTTATAATTATTCTAGATATCAAGGGCACTCGTCAAAGTGTATTTATTATTTTTCATGATTTATACTAGTCGTTTTTTTATTTGTATTTATCATTATAGGCTGTGGAGATTATTGAGTTTCAATTGAGATCTTGAATCGATCGACGATAAACTACTATTAATAACTTGGAAGTACTGGATGACTTCTCCATTCTAGTAGGGAGCTTGTCAGCTATGCGCGTCTACGACCACGCACTTGGGACTTAAACCCAATATCTTGGGTCTCGCGCGCGAGTGTTTAACCTCTAAACCACTGATATAAACGACATCTAACGGTTTTAATGTCTAACTTCAACCAATCCACCATTGTCTTCAGACACATTTGAACTTCACTAATCACGGCTTTAGTTTTTTTAATATGTATGAAAATAATATGGAATTTGTGCCTATCCATTTAGCTTTCTTTACCACTGGAAAACTTTTATTCGTTTCTATTTTTTTCATTGTTTATTATAAAAACGAATAAAAACGATGTACTTATTCTATCATGATGTAAAGGCTATTTACCATAATCTTCATCTAAACTCTTGAATGACTATGTTTTATTCCCTGACAAAATAATTGTGTTTCTGAATATTAGTCAGCAATGTAATTTATAATATATAAATAAACCAATTATCGATTTATGAGCTTATTTACTCTGATAACTTGACCAGGACTTCATAACATTATTGTAGTAACTTATGAAGGTCGAATTGTCGAAAAAAAGACAATTGCCTATTTCGAAATATTTTTGAAGCAATATTTATCAATGTCTAGGTATGTAGTATTAAAATACCGGTGAGACTATAATTTATGAACGAGCCAATCAGATATAAGATAACAGGTCATGGATTTTGGTGTGTAATCCATTTGGTAAATGGTGTTTTTACATTTTAGCTAATTTCAGTTCGTGATGAAAACCCTGAATGTTGTTTCTAAGCCTAACTATCAACTGTAAATTATAATTCTGGTTCCAAACACTGCTTTATTAGTAGGTGGATATCCTTAAGATCACTTTAGTATCGCTCAAAATTTGTTCATAAATTATAGTCTCACCAAAATACAGTATACTAATCAGCTTATATATATATATATATATATATATATATATATATATATATATAATTCTATCGCAATTTCACATTATGAAATTACACATTTTTAGATATTCAGATTTATTAAAACCCATTTTAACAAAATTTCATTTGAATTGACTAACAATAAAGAAAAAAATCGATAAGTAATAGATTGTACTTACTCATCAGATGTAAAAACTCTTGGTAAATACCTTCTTGTAGCAATTAAAATTCCCAAATATGGTAATGCCCAACCGCCTTAAATTTACACACACACAAAAAAAATAAAGAGACATTATTTATTTTTAATTATCTGATTAGTATTAATTACTGAAATTATTGACTAATTACTTTTATAAATTTAAACTTACCAACTAATGTCATTGCTACACTAAATACAGAATATGGGCCTCTAGCAGATTGAGCACCAAGATATTGTCCTACACGTATACCTGCTGCACTACCAACACCAAGTGGAAGCTAATAAAACAAATAGAAATTTTATACAAATTTTGTTTTTTCATTTATAAATCGAACTAAACTACAAACAATTCATGTAGTAGAATAACATGAGTTCAATATATTTTGTGATTTCTTGTCAGGTTGACGAAAAACCACAAAATTTGATGAATTTGTATTATTTTACTATGTAAATTGTTCTTGATTTGGTGAAAAAGAACAAAGGAAAGTAGTGATTTAACTTAAAGAGTTTTTCTATTGTTTTACTTCAAAGTATACAATCATTTGGTTCATTTAATTCATTTGAATTTATTGAAGCTTCAGTTCGTCTATGTATTTGTAACGTGTGTGAAAATCTTTAATTATAAGGAAGGTGTACATAGATAAAATGAAGTTTAACTAAAAGTAATCGGAAGAATACTGATAAATCTCAGCGATAACACTTTTTCATTGAGAATAAAATAGTAAATCTCATTTATTTCGGGGATCTTTTCCAAGAGGATCCTTTCATGTTTATGATAGGTTGATTCCAAAGTGATCTACATCTTTAGAATCTTTAATGAAACACATTAGTTTAATAAATAACGCTGTGGAATTTAAAAAACCTGTTGTTTATTATAAACTGCATAACATCGGCATTGGTGTATACATGTATATAAGTGGTAACTCTCAAATAGACAAAAATATATCGTATGATTTGCATTCTTACTTATCACGACATGAAATTATGCCAAAATAAGTTATGTGGTTTGATCTTGAAATGAAATGAAAATTACAATTTTAAGGTACCTGAAAGATATTGCTACCAAGGGAACATTACAAAGAAACAAATAATATGAATACAAATACCATGCATGATCATTCCATGAAAACACCTATATAAATTTGGTTGGCTAGACAATGTAAGCTAACATTTGAGACTAGGGTGGTTTTCTATAAATTTTTACCTGGTGATGAGAAATCTGTTTAATTATATGCTATTTGATTTTCTATGAGTAACACTTCAAATATTCAAATGAGGTAAACCGATATTTTGTTAGAAAATGTTGGTTATATGAGAGTTTAAAAAAACATTTTTTTAAGTTTTTGTTTTTGCAAAATAGAATTAATTTTCAGAACTGTTAACTAACGACATTTATTATTTAAAAACAAGTATATGGATGAATATGCCAGTAATGACAACATACTATTGAAGAGCAGTCGTTAATGAAGATTAGTTTTTTTTAACTTTTAGTTCATTTAATTATTTAGTGGCCCGGAATCTGACTCCAAGTAGATCATATGAATGATTGTTATTGAATGATTGCTGTCGAAATGTATATGTCGCCTATCTTTGTATATAATCATCGACTTAAATCGCGTTAGTCAATAACGGAATTAAATAAGTCAAATACGAGAATGAATTTCGAATACGTACAAATCATACAATCTTTGATCCAGACAAAATATCGGAGAAGCAAATGGAATAGAAAGAAGCGAAACGACACGCAGTGGAGATGGCGGGTAAGCCAACTCCATTTAATCAAGCGTTAATCAATATTTATAGTCACACAAAAATAGGCTACAGACATGTGATTAATAGGATAAGAATGTACACAAACATACACTCATATAAAAAAGTCAAGGTTGATAAGCGAATAATTAACAAGGTCAAAATACGAGTCAATTAGAATGGATTGGCCTGTTCAAAAGCTAGAATAACATAAATGGGCTTAACATATCAACCGACACTATAAACACTTGACAAAGTGTTTTCAAACTATTTTCAAATTAATTTTATCTTGAGCTTACCAAAGTATAGCTAATAGATCCAATAGATAGAATAATAGTTTGTGCAGCAAGTTCACAAGCTCCCAATGTCCCTAAAATATTAAAGTAAAACACCACTGGAATAAGTATTACACTTCTATAGTCTGTTTTTGCTGTATGCAGTACAGAGAATAAAACTGAGAGATTGCAAATTTTTTGTCAAGTATTTGTTTATTGAGTAAAAATTCAGGTTTTCTCCTTGTGTATCAACCCAGCAAAATCTGACCTATCATTTAAAACTCGATTATTTATGTACAATCTGTTCATTAGAGGTTTACTTTTAAAAACTCAATAGCTAAGTCTATAATGCGATGGTATTTGAAGCGGACGGTAATAGGTTTTAGTCCTGGAGTGAACATCAACTCTGGGATGCAGGTACATCCATCTGACGAGTCCTAAATAAAACGAGAAGCTCATTATGGATTTCAATGCTAGCCACCATCCATCCTTGCTTATAACGCTTGTGAATTAATGCAATATTGAAGCAATGCGCACAGTGGACACATATGTCAATAAAAAACTGATCGATTGCAGTCCTAATCATCAATGTGAATATTCAAATAAACAATACAAAGTGAATTTAAAAAATAAAACTGTTTTTACTCCAGTTTCAATAGGAGTCTTAATCTCATTTCGAAGTAATAACAATCAAGGTTTTCTTGAACCATATTAAACTAAACCCTATTACTTTTCTCTTTCAATTATTACCATCTAACTGGATGACAGGTTTTGCCAGGATGATTAACCTGTTGGTTTGGATCAGTATCACTTTGAAATGAAGTCCAAATTGCTTCATTACATTTCAATTTTTAAAAATTTTAGCAAAAAGTAAGTGTGTTAATCATTTGAAACATTATATAAATAATAATAAACATATATTTTTTATATCCGAATGGGTACAAAAATGTTATTTCTGACGTTTCGTAACATAGTATAACCTAATTCTTCAGAGTAAATAAATAACTGAACTAAATTAACACAAGTTTATATGATACAAAGGAAACTATCAAGTCCAACCTTGACATTGATTCCTACATCATATAATTAGGATTGTCGGGAGTTTAAAATATCAAAGACGGGATATCACAAATTAAAAGTGATCGGATCCTATTGCTGTTGGTGAATTCTAAGTGTATTTCTCCTTTATAGCATTTTATCAGACGTCTTAGTGTACTTGATATATAATTGGAGATAGAAACCTGGAAGCAAACTTTAAACCTTTTTTAAATTTGACAGCTGAATGTACCCATCTACTGTATATATTAAAACTATGTGACTAGTTTGAAAAATGCGAATTTCAAAACATCGCGAACATACTACTGAAGAATGTTAACTTAAATATCGCTGAATTTACTGTATTACTTTATATATATATATATATATATATATATATATATATATATATATATATATATATATATATATATATATATATATATATATATATATATATATACTAAGTTTACTTCGTGAATTTGCTAGGCTTAGTATGACTTTTATACTCTATATTCCTATATATCATCCAGCTACTGAACTCTTAGTGTCAATGACTTTTATACAAGGTGTTGAATTAGTAAAATGATAGCCACCAATTCATAATAACAATAAACACTAATAAAGTTAATTACAAACCACAAAATGCTAACTATAAATTAACTCCTTTATTATTCGAATTTTCCCGTACATTCAACGCAGATGGTATCATTTAGTAACTTATATACTGATCTAATAACAAACAAAATAAATCAACGTAGCATTTCATTTACTATGAAATACCAGTTTTGATGATTTCGGTAGTAAAATATTTATTTCATCCTCTCTATGAAAACAAATAACTTGTTTAAATTTACAATCGATCTGTATGAATAACTAATTGAATACTATTTATTTATAGTTATTTAAACACATAAGTATTCGTACATGAAGGCAGCAAATAGATGTGTGCCACATAAGTCATTCGATATGTGTGAGGGCTGAGATACTGCCCGGGTGCCCAAACTGATGCGGGTGGTTTTCGTAAGTGGCCACACCCGGTGTGTTTGACCTAATGGTTTAGTCCACAAGGCAGTGGAGCAACGTAAGGATATAGCAGATCACTAATAATTGCTTCATGCGCCATTTGTTTCCTTAGGCTCCTGGAACCAATGTACACCCTTAGTTAGAATCAGGATTTTCCAACCTTCCTAGGTGAACCGTCCTTGTCCACCAACCCGGTTAAAGCACCGAACATTTGCACCTACGAACCCACGCCAAAGAAACTTAAATACAGACATTTTTCGTTAACATTCTTTTTTTCTAATTAGATTCATACTTTGTTTTTAAAGTAACCTTACTCTCTCAATATTACATCTACATAAATCTATATTGTATGTTTATATTATGTAAAGATATTATTTTAAAATACTTTTCATTTATCTTACCAGCGATAAAACCACCAATTTCATAAATTGTCCATTCAAGACTAACCATAATTAACCCAGGTATAGCTAAACGAAACCATGTATTCCAATCTTCCCAGATTTCCGTTGTAAATTCTGAAGAAAAAAAGTATGAGAAACAAAAGTATTTTATTAAATAATTTTGATGGACGACAAAGGGTAAGTTGTCACCAAAGCAAATTGGAGTCTATCAATTACTTTTCACATAAAATGATAACAAGGCTTTTTTATCTACTACTAATTACAAGTATACAGTTATGAATCCCATAGTTTAAGAATATGAACATAAGTATATTAGCATTTCTCATAAATAGTTAGACACTATCCAACATAATATCTATCAAAATATTAGGATTAAAATAATGTAGAACATTTAATTCAATATATATATATATATATCAGCTTGATTGCTCATTTGAATGAGTACTCCGGTCATTATAGTATGAAGAAGACACACATAAGCATTCGATTTTCATATAATCGTTACAGACGTGTAGATTCGATATGTATTCGATAGTTCATTTTGTGATCAGAATTGAGGTTGGTGGAGATTGTAGCAATTTTAGTAGTGGAATACATGAATCCATGTAAGCTAGACCACCATTGAAAACCTGGAAGTACTGGACGTCTGTTTTGTCCTCGTATGGGATTCCTCAGCAATGCGCAACCACAGACCTATCCCAAAGGGACTCAGACCCAGGACCTCAGGTTTCCCGTACGAACGCGCAACCTTTAGACGACTGAGCTGACCGGCATCCAACGCCGCTAACATCTAATTCCAGTCGATCCATGGTCTTACACAAACCTTCATCCATTGTCTAACGTGGATACCCTTAGGCGTTTGCGCGCGGAACCAAAGATCCTGGATTCGAATCACACACTCGGGATAGTAAATGTGCACTGCTGAGGAGTCTCATATTAGGACAAAAAAGTTGTCCAGTGATCTCAGGTTTTCAATCATGGTTCAACTTACATCGACTCATGAATTCAACTATTGAAATTCAATTTGTAATTAAAATAATTTTGCGTGATCTAATTATTTAATGTCCTAGGAATTAAATTTAAAAATCACGTTTTCATAAACTTAACATATTCCCATTCATGAGTTGTACAATGTTGCACTGATTAATTGAGTTGAATATTTGTTCAACATAAAAGTAAAAGCATCATCTTTATCTCAAAAAATCATGATGACTTTAATATTTTAGTTTTGGCTTAAGTAAGAAATATTTTTGGTCGGTAAATTAGATTATAGCGAAAAACAGTAACAAAACCCTTTATATTTAAGGTCACGATTGCAACAAAATTTACAGTAATAATGACAAATTGTGCCACTAACATAACATTATCAATGAAGTTTGTAGATATCACATAATAGTAAAACAGACTCACTCGTTTAACAGATGAATGATTAAATAAACACAACGATAAATATCAAAGTATGTAAGTATAATCATACATTAGTTTTGTTAGCTTGAAGACTTGACCACAAAATAATTGGTTTCAGTTACTATTCTGTAACCAGTTGTTATATACTGAAGTGTTATATTCCTTAACTTTTCACATTACAAGAGTTTTATAATAAGTAGTAACAGTTGTAGCTTATACGATTAATAATTTTATGAGTGCGACAGTTACTTACTAACTATAATGCAACACTATTAAGCTATAATAAGAATTGATCACTAGTTTCCAAATCAATAATCGATAACTATCGATCAAAGTACTAAATATAAACCTTCTGAATGTAAACTGAGATAAAACAATTATTCATTACTTCATGATTTTCAACAATTCTTTAGTGAATATCATTTTATTTAAAAGTTATACCTACAATTTTAGTAATATATGTTCCATAAATTTTAAACTTTCTGGTTGTTTTTTTTCTTTTTTTGTTTACAAAAACAGATCGTAGCAAGATGAGAAATTGGAAAATGAAAGCAATTGGACACGTTTTTTTCTTCTTTATATTCTACGAAGTGCAAATGTCTGACAACTATAATCACTTGTAATAGATGTATATATATATATATATATATATATATTATTGTGAACTATAAATAAATACGAAATAATGATGATGAAAAAGAAGAAACATGTAGATAGGCATAGTTTTGTATTTGTATTGACGTGTTAACTATACACATCTGTAAATCATTTCCACCTTTTCAATCAACCTAAATACTTTTTCATAATAATAACCATTATTCATAGAGATGTTCAAAAAAATATTCAACGGAACTATAATTCATAGACGATCTTCGTACAATATTGAAAAGGCCTTCAAACAATTCTCTTACTTAATAAGATCAAAAGGGGGTTATAAATTAATATTGGAAAATAAGGATTAAGATTTCGAATTAAAATTTAAGATTAAGAATTAAAGATTTTCATCATGAATTGATATCATCTATAATGTCAAAATCTATGAGTTTCTATCCTTAATTTGATTAATATGTCTATAAAATTTATTCTCGTTCAATGTTCCATTAATAATTAGTTTTATTGTTCATTTTTTAAAACTATCCTTTAAAATTCAATTAGCTTTGATTTAAATAAATGATCCGATAGTTTCAAATATCAGAAAGAGCTTTGTGGATATTATAGTAATTTTTAGTAGTTGAGATTATGAGTCAATTAAACCTAGACCACAATGGAAAACCTGGAAGCACTAGACGGCCATTTCATCCAATTGTGGAACGCCTCAGCAGTGCGCATTCACGGTCTCTCATTTGGAATACGAACCCAAAACTTATCGGTAGTGACTGATTTCAAAAGGTATTTCCTGGAGTTCTAGTGAGAAGCAGTGTCCAGTGTAGTTCAAATGGGTCTGTTATGAGATAGTAACAATGGTGGATGTGTCACTCAATTTCGTGGATTAACTGAAGTTAGATATTAACACCATTGGATGCCTGTTCAGTGGTCTAGAGGTTATGCGTTCGCGCGCGAGACTGATAGGTCCTGGCTTCGAATCTAGTGAGCAGGATCGTAGATACATACTGCTGAGGAATTCCACAATAGAATGAAATGGCCGTCCATTACTTCCAGATTTTCCATAATAGTTTAGCTTCAATCGATTCATGATCTCAACAATTAAAAGTTTCAAATATCTGTCATGTGTTCATTAGATTTTATCGTTAGGTCATTATTTTCCTTAGCGTACTGCTTATTTTATTGAAAAGAAAAAATTACTATGTAACTTAACATAGGTTGACAAAATTAAAAGTAGTATAAAACAATAGGGATGGAGAAAAATTAATTCTAGATTGTTAAAAAGAAAATGAATATTTTAATTATAAATGTACGATGCAAAATTTTAATTGACTGTGAAAAGTGTTATGTTGTTCTTTTTTTTAATTATTTAATGGTTTTATTATTAAGAATAAATTAGTAAACCAGTGAACTTAACAGTTCCAAAACAGGAATGAATAGTCAATCAGAATTAGCATAAGATCAGTCGATGGCTACCAGAAATGACCTAAAGGCTAACTGTATTTCATTGGGATCAATGTGTCAATTTCTCAAGGATGGAGTGGTATACATACGAATGAGTATTTGTGCGTTTCATTTGGTAGTCCAATACATTTGCTCTCTCACTCTTGTGTTCTCTCTCAAATAGTCAGTGAGCGTAGCAATACCAAGTGAATTTAAATCCACTCCATTGCACAAGTTAATGACTATCAAGACTCTGTGGCTGAGTGGATAACGCGACGGCGTTTGAAGCAAATGGTACTGGGTTCGAGTCCCAGAGTGAACATCAACTCTGAGATGCAGGTACATCTAGCTAACGAGTACAAAATAGGACAAAACGTGCGTCTAAAATTTCACTTTTAGCCAATATCCATCTTTGCTCAAAAACGTAAATCATATTATTTTCTTATTTTGATAATGAATATATTACTTATTATACTACAATAATTCAGTAATAAAAAATAATTATGTATAAATTATGTATATTATTAACGATATTTGACCTGACTGATAACAGTAATAATATATAATTCGATATTTGAATAACATCTAATTTTTTTTTCTTTTTAATGACTTACTAAAGTTGGTATCTTTTGAAAGACCTATGAATTTTATGTAAACAATAAAGCATATCACTTGAAAAAAATATGCTGTTGCTTGAGATATTGGTGAAGCTCTAAAATTTGTAACAACAACAAAAAAGGAGAAAAAGAAACAAACGCAAATAGATAAATTAAACAATATTCATCAACATCAGTTATATTTCTTCTAATAAATTCAAAAGTAAATTCAACCAGTCAGTAACAACGTGTAACTTCGTACGTACGTGCATCAGTTCGAGTTGCCATACCACATTAGCACAGAGATCCAGTTATCGATTCAAATTCCATAGTGATAGAGGTACTGAAAGTATAAGTAGAGATAGGGAACATTAGGGTTTGATGATGTTATTCAAGGAGTATAGTCCAGTGGAATAAATTGGGAAAGAAAATAAAGGACATGAAGAATTCAGAAGATTAGAGTTTGAGAGAACACAAAGAGTGGATGCACCTGCGCCATTGCAAACGATTTTGAGTCATGTCATTCAATGTCTCTAACCATCGGTTGCTATCGTCTCGCGGACCCCAACCAGGTAGTCCATACCTACCAACATGACTCAGTCCACTTGTCAGTGACTTCATGGATTTCTGCCATGTTTTGGTCTGGCCGCCCCTAGCCTTATTCCAACCTACTCCTACACCAGAAAACACCGCTCATTGAGGCAGTCAGTGGTTGGGCATACGTAACACGTGTCCCAGCCATCTCAACTGATTAAGTTTCACTACTTCATCAATTGATTTGCCATCCTTATCTAATACCCGTTTCCTAACAACTGCATTACTCACCTAAAGGTCTCAGGATATACGAGCAATGTTTCGAAGATACCTATGATCGAATACTAGTACCCTACGAATATCCTCTACGCTTACTAGCCATGTTTCACTGTCACAACGTAGGACGGAACGAACTATTGTGTGGTAAACCCGTCCTTTAGTTGATAGATGGATATCTCGCCTACGCCATAAATGACGCAATTTGGCAAAAGCTAGTCAAGCGTTCTGTATCCGTGCTGAAATTTCGTCACACACTAAACCACAAGTAAAGTAAATTATTCCTCAGACTAGAGTTATCGACCGTTAATTATGAGTTCAAAGTTGAATTGATCAACGATTTATTTTAGTAATTGCAATAGTTGAAATCATGAGTCGATTAAAGCTAGACCAGCGTGGAAAATCTGGAAGCACTGGACGGCTGTTTCGTCCTAGTATGGGATTCTTCAACAGTTCACTGAATAGGTTTAAAGACATGATGAATAATCGACCTTGGCTAAAATAATAATTTTGTTTTAAATTTATCATTTGAACATACTCGGTGTATTATTCCAGCAGATTTTACGTAATTATAATTCAATTAAACACAAGATTACTTTACGGTACATTTCTTTCATTTTTGGAGAAAATACAGAAAATTACTACACATTAATCTTTTTACGTACATAGCTAATTAGTTTACCTGACATCCATATTCATTATATAAATCAGTATATAATGCATTAATGCATTGATACCGTTCACAAAAATCATAATAACTAATGGAGCATATACATGATTCTGTAGGAAAGAGAAAAAAAACAAAAAGTACAATTAGAATAGCGTCAAAAAATCTTCTTTACGTTATCAGAAAATTTGTTAGAATAAGGTGAATAGAAGGAACTCATATATGTTAATTATACTAATACACAATGGATCGGCAAATATATAAGTGGTATTATGTTATTTTATCACTGATATCGATAGATATAAATAGTATGTATCATCAGTCGAAAATGAAATGTCTGGCAGCAGGAAGTTAAGAAGATTAAAGAAAAGAGCACGAGAACAGAGAACGATTGGTGTGTAAAATAAAGAACATTTTGCAAATGAAGTATTTACTGTATGATCTTCAAATTTTACAAAGATATTCTGTAATTTTGTATTGAAATACATTTGGTTATCCCCACTTATATTCTCATTCACTATAATATGAATAATCACCTTCAATGTCAAATTTATTAAACATTTGATATGGTTACTCTTAACTAAGATAATTAAGATGGTAAGTAAACACTAAAGCACATCCCACATGTAAAATTATTTTCTAATTTCTATGGTAATAAACTAATAAACCCAATGGTCTTTTTTTCACGTGTACTTCTTATCACTAAATTTCATCATCGTGTTAAAATTCGGAGTAAAAAAGGATAAGATTAACTTGAAAAGATTTTTCCTTATATTTCATGAATATGATTAATTTTGCCTACAGGGATTCTGGTAGACTAGTATACAAAAACAAAGTATATTCCGAATGTTTTGTAGTCGGTTGTTGTATCAAAGTCTGAAATTATTACAATGTGTGAACAATATATAATAATTAGGCAATATCTCCATAGAATATATTTTATAAGAAGATTTTCATATCCCTTCTATCATTTTTTTTATTTCCGTCAGGTTAGTTAATAGATGGATATCCTTGTGGTATGAATAATTGCTGATTTATAATTTTCTATCATGTAACCTAACCGGTTGTGGCTTTATTTCTTATATATTGGTTGATAACACAAACCTATTACACATTGAAGGTAATTCTTTAATAACAAAATTTTCTCGCTAATATAATAGCAAATCAATCATTCTTATTATAATACCTGTTTTTCATACTTATACAGAAGACTTACGTATTTGTAATTCAGGTTGTATACGTCGACGCTGAATATCTACTGAATTTATGTGAGGTGTCAGTTTGGAAGCCTTTGTAAACAGCCAGTGTGTATACAATTAGGATTAAACAGAAGAAAGCTCAAGATCTAAATTTCGTTTATTCGCCTGGATAGCTCAGTGGTAGTGTTATGATACTGAATAGCCAGAAAACTAACTACAGTATAACAAGTGAACTGTGCTAACTAACATAAGTCTTTAGTCAAAAGCAACCTCTGAATATCTTACAACTGCCCAATACCAGAATAAAGTTGATTACAACTTTGAACTACTCACGTCAATGGTTTGATTAAAACTTGATCGAACAGGATAGATCATCATTTGAAATCAGTCAGCACTAAATTGACTACTACTCAGTATTTAGCTGGAAAAGAATAATTAGGTCTGAACCACAAGAAAAAACAGTTCGATTATTTCAAATGGTGAAGAGACATAAGTTTAGTCTTTAAGAATAATGTTACTCAGATCACTAGATGAATTTATATTCGCATATAACAATGATAAATAGATAAGAGGAATAGAAATAATTGCCTAAGGGAAAACTTTATAATACGTTAAACTCTAGTAAAATCATATAAATACTGAACTACAAACTGTTACATAAATGTGTAAAACTGAAGCAATAAAACAAATAAGGTAATCTATTATTAAATTCAATTTTCTAGATATAGCATATTTTATTTTATTTACGAACTGTTTCGACTCTTCAAACAAACACTTTACAAAGGATACGATTAAAACTTAATCCCAGTTAACCTAAGGCTTAATTTATCTCTCTTATTATATTTTTTGACTTGAATATTATCAGTATAAGGATTTGTAGAGATTGTAGCAATTTTTAACAGTTGAATTCATATGTTGATCTAAGTTTGATCAGATTTTCAATGGTGATCTAGCTTAGATCTACTAATGAATTCAACTGTTAAATACATACATCAAATAAATAATGCCATTAAAAATATTTGATAACAACAAATAAATCTGTAAAACATTGTATACTGTAACTTATTCTAGCTTTTTATTCGAAACTATAAGATGACCAACAATCCGAATCAATAAATTTGATCGTAAGATCATTTGTTATGAGGTCATTTAGGATCATTTATTATGGTGAAACATAGAAGTACTTATAAACAAAGATGGATAGTGGCTAGTAATAGAATCTAGGACGCGCGTATCGTCCTATTTTGGACTGATCAGATGGACGTACCTGCATCTCAGAGCTGATGTTCACTCTGGGACTCAAATCCAATGTCGTTCGTTTCAAACGCCATCGCGTTATCGACTCAGCCACAGAGTCCTGATAGCCACTGACTTGTGCAATGGTGAGAAGTTTAAGTTCACTTTGTATTGTCTGCTTGAATCTTCCCATTGATGGTTAGGACAGCAATTGATCAGTCTCTTATTAGCATATGGGCGTGCCAATAAGAGACTGATTAACTGCAATCCTAATCATCAGTGGGAAGATTGAAGTAAACAAAACCAAATGAATAAAAGTAATTAGATCAAATGAAAATTGAATATGATTCCGATTATGATTAGAATAAATCTTGTTAATAAAAAGATAAATTAAGTATTAAATACAAAAACAACAACTTTGAACATACTTGTGTTTGAACAAACCTGATAAATAATTGTCCAAGTGAACTAAACTATAACAAAAGTGATCTGGATAATTATACATTTTTACAACTTACAAGTAATCCCGGTATAAGATAAAGCAATAATTCACCAGTTCCCCTACGTAATAAAAAATATATATATAATTAATATATACTAAAAAAAGAATTATGTTTCTAAAAGACCATTAAAATAGATATTTGGAGATCCATAATATTTTATTGATAAATAAATTGTTATGGTAATCTATAAAGTTATGCTTCTCACTTAATTGTATAATTATTATTCATAATAGATAGATATTGTAACATTTTGAAGAGGTAAATGCTGCTCGATACTCCCCCCTACCGACAAAAGAGATCATCTAGTATCTTTGGATAGACCAGTGTTCTCTTAATACTTGTATTCGCCCATTTTCGAACAACTTGACAGGTTGACCACGCAGTTGTTTGTGTTTTCTTTCATGGGTGGTTTTGAGATCTTGATCAGTTTCTTCTTTAGGGTGTTTTTCTCTGTTCTCTGTGTAATTTGCATGATATCACGATGACTGTCGTCAAAATTTCCAAATGTTCTGACGTAAGTGTCCTTTGGAACTTCATCTTTCGGTCCTCTATGATGTGTTGGTATTTGCGGATTCTATAATGTGTATCCGTTATCATTAGATGTACCATTTTTCCTTTACTTTGCTCAGCTATTCTCCATCCCATTGTGCATTTGATTGAAGGTCTGTATCTTAAAATTGTTGGTAGAACATGCTGGCGAAAACATTCATAGAGAAAATACAGTTGTTCTAGAGTGGACTAAATTTGACTAAATCCACTACTCCATAGTGAATGATTTTATACTGTCATGGTACGATGATATAAACAAAAAATCCTGCAGTTAACAGATCAATTCTCAAGCTTCGTTTAATTATAATTTTCTAATAATCTGTACTATCCCTCGACTAATTGAACATTTAACAAATAATTAGTATATTAGTATCTTTTCCATGAATTATTATCTAAGACGTTAAATGAGTGACTTACTTTGCAATTAAAGGATTTTGTCCAAGTAATAATAATAGTGGTTCCGCGTTCAAGTACAAAGCACATGATGGAATACAACATAGTAAAATTAAGATAACAGCTTTAAAAGAAAAAGAAATGGAATTAAAACTAATTGTTTAATCGGTTCCCATTTTTAAAACTTGTACATAAAGGAAATATAATTATCAGAATACGGGTTTGTGGAGATTGTAGTAACTTTCTAATAATCAGAGAGAGATTTTGTGGATATTATAGCAATTTAATAGTTGGATTCATGAGTCAGTTGATGATAAACCAATAGATCTTGGGTTCGAATCCGTCGAGGTGACATCGTGGATGCACACTACTGAAGAGTCCCATACTAGGATGAAACGACTGTCCAGTGCTTCTAGGTTTTCCATGGTGGTCTAGCCTCAATTAACTCATGATTTCAACTATTAAATTTCTTAGTAATTGAATTCATGTGTCAATGTAAGCTAGACCACCATGGAAAACCTAGAAGCACTGGACGACTGTTTCATCCTAGTATTCAAAGTTATTTAATACTATAAATATTAAGATTATTTATTCTTATCTAGTTTTTTTTACTTATTTTACGTAAAATCGATTGTCTGCTATATATTCAAGCTAAAATCACAAATGAAATGTTCAGTTTTAAGCATTAAGCTTTAATTCTATGATTACCGGAAGAGATTTGAGATACTCAGCTTTTGATAATCTTAACTGAGATTTGATCAATCTTACTAAATGTTTATCTTATGTGCAATAATATCCACGTACTTACTCAATAATATATAACTACAATATACAAAGTACTCCTAATTAACAATAATTATTTTCAATCTATTCAGAATAAAATATTTCGTGAAGACAACAATTCACTTATCCAAATGAAACGATAAGAGAGTAGTTGGAACTTTTTAAAAGTGAACTTAGAAACTAATGTTTTATTGACAGTTTCTAGAAATTTATAAACTCAAGAGATACTACTTCAAATGGTAATTAATCTATTAATATATATGTCTGGTGAAATATATGTATGGTTTTATACTTTGTTGAATATAACTCTTACAATTGGATCTTGTTAGCGGGAAATAGATTCGATGAAAGCATGTTCGATGCACGATTGCGTTGGTGCATGCTGATTGGCTAATTTTTATCCAGTCAGAGCTAGTGAATACTGGGAGAACACTCTAGAATCATCTCATGTAAAAATTATAAATATACTAACGTTTTTCCCACTGTGCTTCTTACTTCCATCTAACCTTTTCATTTGGAATATAATCTCTTTCCTGTTCAACCGTGTTCTAATTTGGGGACTTGTCGAGTGAATTGGTGTCCGAGAATACTAAGCATTAGGAATAGCTGGGTTGTAATAGAAGAGAATTATAACAGATCTCTTCACATTTTTATTGGTATTATAAATGGCCATTCATTTAGTTTGTTATATGTTATGCTTTAAGATTATTGATACAATTGTTAACTCAAAAAAAGAATGTCGATAAATTCAGTTCATTCAATTTGTTCTATCTTGTTGATAGGCTACTAAATTAGCATAGAAGTTTTCTAGCTATAATTAAACAACTGTTTAAATCTTCAGTGGTTAATTGTCCAATTAATGTCAATCAAGAACTAAAACCAACTTCATACTGTGTTAATGGTTAAATAATGTTATAAATGAAAGGAATTTACCTCTGTATAGTTGAACAATCATTTTATCTTTCATTATACTCCCATATGTCTAGAATGCAATAAAAATGAATAAAACAAACTGTAAATATTGAATGAATATTAAAATGTCTTTTCTTTTCAGAAATGCTTTATTATTATTATCATCAGTACATTAACCAGGTACATGGCTTGGCTTTTGAACACACTCATAATGTGAGGTCCGGTAATACTACCCAGCCGTTCAAAAAATCGAATGGATGGCACTGAATTTTGATCTGTATTTTGTTAGCCAAATAATACAATGCCTAAAACACTGAGCCATTTCTTCACGTCAAATACATCTAGAATTGATATATGCTTTGTTGCACAAAATGAAAGCCAACTAGAAAGAAATTAACTTACATTATTTATCATGCTGTTTTTACTTCTATATTTTAATTAGATTTATGGACAAATGGAGCATGTATTATAAAACACAAACTATAATCGTTCGATTATTTAACTAATTTTTCAATCTTTTGATCTTTATTACCTTTTTTTGATGACATAAAACTGATGATCAATTTTTTTAGGTATGAAGGCTTTGGCGAGACTAATCACGTATAAGATAACAGTTCTCGGATTTTGCTGCGAAATTCACTCCTCCATTTGGCTAAATAAAGTCGTGGTATTGTAGCTGATGTCAGTTCATGATGAAAATCCGAAATCTATTTGTTAACCTCAATCATCAACTGTAAATCATAATTCGAATCCTTCACATTAATTTATAATCTTCATTTGGTCCTAGTTATTAGGTGGACATTCTGAAGATCGGTCTAGAGTTGCTCAAAGGTCGTCCATAAATTATAATATCACCAATGCTTTTTCTATGGTTTCAATATCAAAATAGTTGAAATCATGAGTTAATTAAAGTTAGACCACCATGGAAAACCTGAAAGCATTGGATGGCTGTTTCGTCATAGTATGGGACTTCTTAGAAGTGCACATCCACGATCCCGCTCCTCGCGAGATTCGAACCCACGACCTATCAGTTTCGCGCACGAGCGCTTAACCAACCCACGAAATTGTTCCACTGTCCACCATTGTCTTCAGTGAGCTCATATCTCACAACTGACCTGATTGAACTCCACTGGTCACAGCTTCTCACTAGAACTCCAAGAAATGCATCTTGAAGTAAATCACTAGTAAGCAGATGATTATTATCAAAAGGGATTTTATGGAGATTTTAGTATTTTCAATAGTTAAAATTATGAGTCAATCGAAGCTGTTATTTTTTGTATGGATGAATAAACTTATTAATGTGAATATTTTAATATGAATTACAAGTTTCCTTTTGTTACATTTGAGTATACTAAAACATTCAATTATATGATTGTTTTCTTTGTACAAAATGAATTACATACTTACTTACGCCTATTACCCTTCACGAAGGAACATAGGCCGCTCATCAAACAAAATGAATTATAATTGATTAAATGAACTACAATTATATAGTATAAAAATTAAATATACTTCTCTTTATGAATGGAACAAAATAGAAAGTTCTTCTTTAGTATTTATAAAATAAATTGTTGTTGACTTTGTTTCTCACTAGTTAATATCTTAATAAAAACATATATGAAAACCTCATTGAGTAATACTTAAACATGAAACTGAAAATTGTCATAGGTGATGATGGAGTAGATTTGTAACTCAGGTAAATGATTTTGATGGAGTTTTATCGACTAAACCATCTAGTTCAAAGAATAAAACTTCATCAAAATTGTTACAAGAACATTTTTAATATGTTTGCGTTTAAAATAGATTTTTGCATAGATTACTAAAGAAAGAAATAAAATGAATTATTGTAAAATTAATTAACTATTATCAGTTTAGCGGTTGTGGAGATTGTTAAGTTTTTGATTGAGATCGTGAACCGATTAGTGTTAGACCACCATTGAAAACCTGGAAGCACTGGATGGCCGTTTCGTCCTGTTGTGGGACTCTTCGGCAGTGTTTATCCACGAATCCGCTCACGGGATTCAAACCCAGAGCCTTCAGTGAGAAGCTGTGACCAATGGAGTTCAACCAGGTCTGTTGTGAGATAGTAACTCACTGATCACAGTGGTGGATGTGTCGCTCAAATTCGTGGATTAGTTGAAGGTAGACACCATTGGATGCCGTCCAGTTCAGTGGTCTATTTGATTAAGCGCCTGGCGCGAGACTGATATGTCCTGGGTCCGAATCCCGCGAATCGCGGTCGCGGATGAGCACTGCTGAGGAGTCCCACAATAGAACGAAACGTCCACCCAGTCCTTCCAGCTTTTCCATGGTGGTCTAGCTTCAATTAACTCATGACCTCAATCAAAAAATAATTAAGTATTCTAAATATTGAAGAAAAATAAAAGATGTATTCTTACTTGTGAAAATAATGTATCACATGCAGAGAGCAATCCTAGAATAACAAACATACCACAAACACTGAACACTGACATAGCTAAACCGATTGTGGCTAATTGAATTTTGCCTAAATGACCACAGAATGCCATACTAACAGGTGAAATTGTATATGTTAGCATTGATGAAATAGTCTAAAATATAAAATTAAATAAATATATATATATATATATATATATATATTAATTGGAAATTAATTGTTGATGGATCCTAGAAAAATCAACTTAGTTAAAATAATTAATCGATTCTGATCCCAATATATTGACACAAATCAGAATTAACTCTGTACCTTGTACTATTCATTAGTTAATTATCTCTTTAATGGATATCAACATCTTGACTAGATCATTTATAAATTAGTTTCAATTCCATTATTGACACTAAAAAGGATCAAATGTTTGATCTTATATTAATCATATAATAGATATGAGGAACTTTTTGAGTATTCTAGTATTGATATTATGGCTAAAGTATTAGAATAATTTACAAGTGTGACGTAAGTGAATATAATAAAACAGTGAGTTTTTCTACCCCAAAGATGTTCTCTTAATTTCACATCTGACGATTAAATCAATAGTAGATTTCACCGAACAATCGACTTCCATTAATATTTTATACACAATACCAACATCTCATTCACTTTAAGAATGCTAAGATGGAAAATAAACCATGATATCCCTTTACTTGATTGCAGTCAATACCATTACCGTCGGATGCCTGCTCAGTGATTTACAGGTCAGGCGATCGCGAGCGAGACCCAAGGTCCTGGATTCGAATCCCGAGTGCGGGATCATGGATACGCACTTCTGAGTAGTGCCATACTATGACCAAAACGGCCATCCATTGCTTCCAGGTTTTCACTGGTGGTCTAACATTTATTGACTCATTATCTCAGTCAAAACTCAACAATCTCCACAACATCATACTATGTTGGTAGTACTTATATAATTATATAAATAATTAGTAGCTTGTTAACCTATAATTAATTATATTGAAACTTTGTTTTGGCTTCTTCAGTGAAATAATAAAGAACCCCGACAGTTTAGTTAAAATGACAGAGTTTTAAGATTTCATTTGAAAAGAAAAAACAGTGAAAACTAATTTTTCCTCTTATTCACTTACAATAGGTACTGCTAAACGCAGTAAATTTTTTAATTCATATAGAAATCCTAATGGATAAATTTTTCTTATTAATCTTTGACGACATGTAAGACTACGAAGTACTTCCTGATCATCTGTATATAAAAAGGAGAAAAAACAATATTTTTTTCTGATGAAAACTATATATTAAGAGTCATTTATCATTTTCAGTTGTACATAAAATTAAAACTTTATTGGATTTGAACAGAAATGATCAAAGAATTTACAATAGTTTGAAAGATAATCTATAATTTATGGACTCATATACAGTCAAAATGGGAGTTTGTGGAAATTGTAGTAATTTAATAGTTGAAATTGTGAGTGATTTTGAGCTAGAACACCACTGAAAACCTGGAAAAATGGAACGACCATTTTGTCCTAGTATGGGACTCCTCGGCAGTGCGCATCGCCCCCCCCTACAAGTTAGTAGATTTAACATAGATTTCCTGGAGTTCTAGTGAGAAGCCGTTACCAGTGGAGTACAACCGGGTTTGTTGTGAAGCAGTTACTCAGTGAAGACATTGATGGACGGTTGCACAATTTCGTGGATTGGTTGAAGTTAAGCATTAACACCGTAGGATGATGTTCAGTTCAGTGGTCTATAGGTTGAGTGTTCTCATAAAAGACCCAAAGTCCTGGGTTCGATCCTCCTTGGCAAGGGATCATGGATTTGCACTGATGAGGAATCCTATACTAGGACGAAATGGCCGTCTAGTCCTTCTAGACTTTCAATGATGGTCTTACTTACATCGACTCATGCATTCAACTATTTCGTATACAATCAATAATATTGTTTGTCAATTATTGAATTTTAAAATGAATCTTAAAGTATAAGCTGCTAAAGATTTCACTTCTACACTTACGTAAGATGATAATACCACTTAAGAATTAAATTATCAGGTGGTATCTTACATTTTGTAGATTTTTATTCTACAAACATTTTTACCGACTGTGACTGCTGTTAATTTAGTTAAGTTTAATGCTAAATAAAAAATAAATGACACTTTTCAAACTAATTGTTAAACTGCTGTTTATATTTGTACAAAGAGATAAGAAAAATTGAATAGAATCAATGTGTAGTCAAAGAATAAAAAGTATGGTAACCTGATAATTAACATAGCGTATCATCTGATTTTTGAATATTTATGTCCATGAATCACAACTTGTCAATGATTGTTATTTATTTTTCAGATGAGAAAATTAGTGAGTAATATCTTTTGTTCACCAGTTAACAGACTAGAAGGTTTACAGCTGTCCAGTGCTTCCAGGTTTTCCATGGTGGTCTAACTTCAAATGACTCATGATCTTAACTATTAAAATTACTATATTCACAAAACCCCTTCGGATAAAAAGTTAAATTTGATTTCAGATCATAGATGATTTACAAACTCCCGAAAATTATGTTATATTGGAGAAATTTTACCTTTTTTTTAATTTCACTGAAAAATATTTTTCATACTGAGACTGAAGTCGTAGACCTCAGTATCTTTCTCTGAATAACAAACCAAGACTAATCCGATGAAGAATGAAAAATGATAAGTGAAGTTTGATAACTAATGAAAATATATAATGAATCTCATTAAATAAATCTAACTATTGAGTCAATCAGTATAGTTAAAAGTCATTAACGAATAAAGTAGTTTCAGAATAAACTGTAGATTCATATTTACTAACTACCTCTATGTAATAAAACTAATTTTCAAAATATTCAAGACAACTGTCACATAAATATAGATACTTAGCTAAATCTAACTTGTTCTTAGTAATAGTATCATAATATTCATTTTCATAATCATCTAAATGTTAATATTCTGTTTTATTAGTAAAATACTAATTATTTTACCGTTATCGGTATCACCAGTGAAAAGTGATTGAAGCATTCGACTTACAATCAGTTGACTGCAATTATTCTCAACTGATTTCATTTCAACGGTCGAATAATATCACCAAAACCAACATAAACCACATACTTCAAAGATGAGCACATAAACTTATACTTTTCATATAATTAATACATTTTTACGAAATCTGATGTGAATACATTATGTAGTTTAGTTAATATTCATTTTATTATATCTTTTATACTATTATGCAATAATTACTCACTTAAGCTAAATGATTCATAATGAACAGTACTTATACATATATATATATATATATATATATATACATCTATAAATCATTAAAAAAAATACATCTACAAACTGAATTTACCTTCGACTTCGGTATCTTTTTTGAAAAGATCAATCAAATATTTACAATGTTTATTTTTCCTCATGGCTACAATCATTTTGTGATTACACTATTCTATGATGTATAACTTATATATGTCCAATGGTGATCCTTTCTTATATATAAGAAAAAGTCAACATTTTTTCACATATATAATGAGTTTTATATATTCTTACATTAATGTATTCATTATAATTATTATTATTATGACTGTTATTGGTGATAAATATTCTGCATAATTTAATTATACTTTTCAGGTTGAATTTCTTTTCATTGAAAATAAAAAAAACAAGAACAAAAAACAAACCCAACTCAGTGAAACGAAAAAAATAACACTTAAATATTTAAATAACCAATAAGGTAAAAATGTAAGTGAAATGAAACATTTATAGTGTAGTTCGGCACAATAATACTATATATATATATATATATATATATATATATATATATATATAAATGTGTTGGGGTGAGTATTTTACTTTTAACTCAGTATATAACATTAAAACTGTAACCAATAATTCGTTTATTCGAATATTCACAAGACTATATTATTATCGAAAGGAGTTTTGTGGATATTGTAGTAATTTCAATAATTGAGATCGTGAATTAATTAAAGCTAGACAACTGTGAAAAATCTGAAAACACTGAACGGCCGTTTCGTTCTATTGTGAGACTCCTTAGCAGTGCGCATCCACGATCTCGAGATTGATAGGTCCTTGTTTCGAATCACGCGGGGGAAGCGGGATCGTAGATATGCACTGCTGAGAAGTTTCACAATAGGATGAAATAGCCGTTCAATGTTTCCAGATTTTCCACAGTTGTCTAGCTTCAATTGAACTTATTATTACTTTGATATAAGAACTTGAAGTATTCCAAATATTTAAATAACACAAAGTTAAATCCTTCAGATTATGTTGATTTGCTGAAATGCAAAAAAAATCATTGAGAGTTTACTATATATTATAAAAATGCATAATAGGAACAATAATTCAGAAATTTGTAGGTAAAATTATAAAAATAAGATTTTGTAAGGACATATGATGACTTAATGACAGTATCGAGGCAATTTTTACAAGATGCACATATATCAAAAGAGACTGATCGATTGTAGCCCTAAACATGAATGGGAAGATTCAAACAACTAGTACAAACAAATTAAGCAACGGTCGATATATATATGAAAACGAATACTGTTTTATGGTTAAAGATGGCTTGGTGATAGTGTAGTGAATAAGAACGCTAATGGGGACAATTGAATGTGTTCGAGCACAAAATTACAGAGCATCTCAATAAAATCTGAAAACCATATAGTAAATAGTTAAGCGCCTAGCGCGAGACTGATAGGTCCTGGGTTCGAATCCCGCGGGGGGCGGGATCGTGGATGCGCACTGCTGAGGAGTCCCATACTAGGACGAAACGGCCGTCCAGTGCTTCCAGGTTTTCCATGGTGGTCTAGCTTCAATTGATTCATGATTTCAACTATTGAAATTTATAAAATATCAATCCATCGTCTGAAGCTTCACTGTTCCTTTACAAATATCAGTCCATTGTCTCAGATTTTATTGTTCATGCGTTTTTTCATACCAATTGCGTTCCGTTCCCGTACTTTCCTCATCGACCTTTTACTGAAATACATTCTATGCCTGATCATCGTTATATACTACTTGTGTGGATATAAGTAACCCACACCACAAAAGTATAGACTCTAACAATTTATTTCCAAAACGTTTCAGTGGTTTTGTAAGGAAAATGAAAAAGAATAATATTAGTAAATACACATAAAATTTGATTTATACTACTGGTTATTTTGTTGATATCTAAGAGATAAAATATCAAAAGTTTTCAACACTATATTGAACAATAACAAGAAGACAGTTCAAAAACAGAGTTTATTTTTCCAATTTAGCATCAATTTAATGAATGAAGATTGACTCAAGTTAAAAGTTATTAGTGTAATATGAAAATAGAGAAAGATAACAAGAAATGAGATCAATGTAACAAAGAGGAGGTTTATGGTAAATTAAGAGAAAAAGTGCATTTCACTTCTGTATTATACATTGAGAACAAAAATGATTACAAAATAGTTCATTCACATATTATTTTGATAGAGACAATTTATCAAATTTAATAAAAATAGATTGTTTAATATTTAAATTCATGAGTCAACCAAAGTTAGAGTTGGATTCCCAAAATAGAACGAAACGACCGTCAGACAATGCTTTCAGGTTTCCAACGGTGATCTAACATTAATCGGTTCATGATCTCAATTATAAACTTAATAATCTCAACAACGTCTATACTAAAGTTAGATCATCATGGAAAATCTGAAAGTACTGAACGACCATTTCGTCTTAGTATGGATTGTAATGGTAAGTAATCGGAAAGAAAAATAGTTGTACATGTGTATTTAAATTCAAACTTATCTTGATATTTATATGGAAATGTTTAAAGATTGCGTATTGAATGGTGGAAAGAATCATTACCTGAATAGTAATAGAGCTTTACGATTTTTCATTTCTCAGTCTGTAAGTATATTAAAGCACTTTTAAAAGATTACTTAAGACAATTTTTTCTCATTTAGTATGTCAAACTTAAAAGATTTAATAGATTTTAACGCGTTTTCTAGAACATTCTGGTGCTCTACAATAGCTTTATTGACTTCATGAACTTTGTTAATACTGTTTTGGAATACATATTTCGATAAAGTTTGCAAACTTCCAAACAAGGCATTTTAGCATAAGATTTTTTGGTAAGACTGTAGTTTATGAATGACTTTTGAGCAACGCTAAAACTATTTTGGAATATCCACCTACTTACCAGGGTTAAATGAGGGTTATATATTAATGTAAAGAATTAGAATTAGGATTTACAGTTGAATGTTAGGGTCAGAGATTAGATTTGATGTTTTCATCACGAACTGACTTCAGTTATAATGTCAAAATGGTATTTAGCCAAATGAGTAAATGAATTTTGCACTGAAATTCAAGACCTGCTATCCTAAATGTGATTGATTCGTCCATAAATTATAGTCTCGCCGATTTCGCTACTGGCTAGAGATTTCTATATAGAGGCGCTTATAAGAGAAATTTAAAAAATGCTAAACAACTTGTGATTCATTAAAGTTGTTCTTAGGATAGCACAACAGACTGATGGAATGTTAAGATCGACTTCGGAATATTTATAAATAGTTATCAAACGAAATTGACCTCTAAATTCAGATGAAAAACATTTTAAAAGATGAGAAGACTAAGTGACTAAGTATATTTTAATGAACTGTCAAATAGAATAATAAAGTTGTAACTATGAAGTAATTACCGATGATATGTCATTTCTACCCGTCATATAACCTACATAAATAATGGAGTATTAGACGTAAATACAAAGTAATATATTAACAAAATGAATATAATCCTTGATAATCATTCGAAATTGATAGTTCAAACCAGAGTTTGACAAATTCTAGGCCACAACGAAAGTGATTATTAAGAAGACCCAGAATAAATGTAAACCCAACTAGTTAATTGAACTCTTTAAACACACGATGAACTGAAACTTGACTAGTCTAATGTATTAATAGATATATATATAATGTTAATATATTAATGTCCCGATAAGCATAATGAATGATAACTTTGGGGATCCATTTATGGACGGCGGTATGATGAAGAGAAACAAAAGGAATAGATGTAAGATATCTAAAAGTCGTCTGATTGTGAATTTTGATTATTCTCTATCAGTCAGTTAGTCAGCTGCAACGTAGGACCAGGCACATATATTCATCGGTCCATGTTGCCATACCGCATTAGCACAACAAAATGAACATCGGATTCATAGAAGTAGTTAATTCAGTGGTGGTAATATATGAGAGAAAGAACGCATATAAGGACATAGTACAGGAAGAAAGAATTAGTTCGTAGAAAGAAAGATATGAAGTGATTTTAATCTCTTAGTTTAAAGGAAGACAAAGAGTGTATACATCTACGCCATTGTGATCGATTCTGAGCCATGTCACCAAGAGTCTCCAACCATTGATTACGAGAGTAGTAGTAGTCTGCATCTACCAACATGGCTCAGATTATTCTCTATGAAAGATATTAATCCACAACATTACCTAAATCAAAGCAGGTTTCAACTCGTATCATTTCCATGATCGTTTGTCAGTTTTCTGTGAACAAAAATACATATATCAGAAAATCAGATAATTGATTATTTGATAAGACAGAAATTTACTTAAAAGATTACATGTCAAGCATTTTACCCTAATTCAATCAAAAAACCTATCACTTTATTAAACTCAATAAGTCAACTAACATATAAACAGAAAATACCCAATGTTGACATTGATTTGTCAAGACTAGATTCATTAAATGGAACTGAATCTTCAGTATAAGGGTTGTTGAGATTATTAGGTTTATGATTGAGATCATGAACCGAGTAATGTTAGACCATCGTTGGAAACCTGAAAGCACTGTCTGACGGATGTTTCATTCTATTGTGAGACTCCTTAGCAGTGCTCATCCATGATCCCGGTCGCAGGATTCGAACCCCGGACTTACAGTCTTTCGCTTCCAGGTTTCCAACGCTGGTCAAACATTAATCGGTTCATGATCTCAACCAAAAACTGAATTTATTTATATATTCTATAAAAAACAATCGTTAAGTTTTAACTATCACAGTGAAAAGTTATATTTATATTCTCTGACTTTCAAATATCTTCCAAACTTTAATCATATTTTATTTCTATATATCTTTATTTGATATTTATTTTTAGACTATACTATTTAGATTAATAATAATAATAATAGTTTATTTTTTGTGATACCCAATTTTTAGTTTCTATCGTTTATCTAAACTAAATTTTATATCTATTTTGACAACTTTTTTTCACACTAATCCATAATCACTTCTTTCTTGACTTGATGTTTTTCATATTGATTGATCTCTCTTTCTTCTTTCTCTTTTTTTCTTCTTTTTTTAATAGTTATATATATACAGCACATCATTGTATCCAAGTGCCCAAATATAAAGTGGACATATCAAGATAATAAACTGTGTTATTATTATTATTTGGTGGTTACTGATTTATTTATATAATTTAGTTGAATAGATTAAATTGATTAGATTTATCTTATTCTGAAAATGTTATTCTAATCATATTTATTATACATAAAGGTTTTATGATTGAATTAAAGGTTAGTTTATTAAATGAGTTTAAACAAAATTTTGTTAAATGAAAATTTATTGGATGGTTTCTTTGTTTGTTTCAATGTGAAAATCCATAGTCTGATGATATATATTTTCAGAAGGCGTTTTGTGTAGATTTTAGCAATTTCAATAGTTGAATTCATGAAGCAATTGAAGTTAGACCACCATGGAAAACCTGGAAGCACTGGACGGCCATTTCGTCCTAGTATGGGACTCCTCAGCAGTGCGCAACCACAAATATTTCTTTATTATATTTATAAAGGAAAAAAGTACTGAAATTCGATAATAGTTAGTTGTTATGCCATGATTATTAGAAAGCATTTAACAATATGGATAGGAAATCATTATGGAAAGTTTTTTGAGATTATAGCGTACTTGAAATGATTGTTAATATCATAAGGAATTTATACAACGGACTACAATGCAAAGTTATGAATGGAGGACAATTGATAGATGTATTTCAAGTAAGGATTGAAGTTAGACAAAGCTGTCTACCCTCACCCTTTCACTTTCTTCTGGTGTTCAATTGGATTATGAAAACCTTGACATCTGAGAAAAAACAGAATAAAATGGACAGCTCAGAATCAATGAGAAGATTTGGACTTCACAGATGACCTGGCCCTCCTATGCCATACACACGAACAAATACATATGAAGACAACCAACGTAGTAACAGCCTCTGCACCCATAGGCCTCAACGTACACAAGGGTAAAACCAAGATTCTCAAATACAACACGGAGGATATAGACCGAATCACACTTGATGGAGAAGCTCTGGAATATGTGGAATCGTTCACGTACCTGGGAAGTATTATCGATGAACAAAGAGGATCCGATACAAACATGAAGGCGAGGATTGGCGAGGCAAGGGCCGCGTTCCTACAATCGAAGAACATATAGAACACAAAACAACTGTCAACCGATATCAAAGTCAGAATCTTCAATACGAATGTCAAGACGGTTCTATTGTATACAGCTGAAACTTGGAGAACCACCGCAACCATTATCAAACAATTGTCTACGTAACATACTGAATGTTCGTTGACCGGATACCATGAACAACAATCTACTGTTATCGATCACACTCCTGAAATGATTAAAATCCAACCACTGAAACTGCTCAAATAAAATTATTTCATCGGTAACTATCGATTTCTTTACCAACCTTTGAGTGATATTCGAAAGTATTTTTGATTATTGAGCGAGTCAATTTGATTTTAATTCTTTTAATGTTTGTTGTTAGATGTAAACACATTTCTATGTCTTTTACTTTATTCTATCTGACTGTAAATATCCACGTGCTCAAGTAGGGTATGACCTCTAAAACCTATTAGTCTATTGCAATTTTTTTCATAACTAGACAAACCGTTAATTATTCAAATAGATAAACTAGTAACAATGTATTTTGAAAACGCAATGGTTTTATGTTTTTGACAAGAAGGGAACACGTATACACATGCAGGTACAAACGGAGCAGTTGTTGTATTATTTAAACTTGGATTAATTTTAATTTGGCTAATTCTTCTCTGAAGAAGTAGCTTACACTAAGTCACGAAACGTCAGAAAATCTAATTTTTCTACTCATTGGGATATTACAAATATATTATTTATTTATAATTGGTACTATTGTTTGATCACTTTACAAATAAATGCATGGATATTGTAAATTATTACTTCAGAGAACGAAAATAAAACTCAAAAAAAAAATTATGATGTTGGTTAAACTTCTTAATTTACATCATGAAATGGTTTCTGTTAGGCAACTATTGGATACTAAAAAGCATTTGGTGGCTATTTCATCTTAGTATGAAATTCTTTGAAAGTAGGCATTCAAGAATCGTCCGGTGATTGAAACTAGGATCCCCATGTCTCACGGAAAACGCTTAAGCTTTAGACGTTTGAGCCATTAATTGATGGCATTCATTGTCAAATTTCAACCGATTGGTGAAATCGCGCATCTTAAAAATTAAGATCAATCTATGGTGTTGTTGATGGTGCTATAAATTCAAATGAAACACAAAATAAAACGTGCATGTTTTTAGGTTAAACGCAGAGTTAACAGTCAAACTGGAAACCAATTGGCATATTTAAATATATAACATCGTTATCAACTTACTAGCAGTCGATGCAAATACTTCTGTGAAGCAGTTCAGTCGTAAATATTTTTCTCGTATTTTTCAGTTTTAAATATACAAACTGTCGTTCTACCTGATTCATAACAGGTTTCCTTAATTTAGTTTGTAATGTATTGAATTATCCCATAGTTGAAATTCTTGACTGAATTTAGGTCATTCTTACAATTGAATTGTCACTGTATAGTGACCAGTATTATATGTGTCATGTCCTGCTTAGGACAGATCAATGTTAAATTCCCTGACTGTGAAACATGTTAACATGGGATTGAATCTATCGGTTTCATTAAGATTATGTACATACATTGCTGACGAGTGACAAATAACACGAAACCTATGGTTCCTAGTCGACTAACTTCAACCACCACCTCAGATCAGTCTTAACTGATAATATGTGTATCCTTCGCTGATTGTCTCATTATAGCTAATTTACAGAATAGCTAGCAGCTTAGAAGTCCCAAATAGAAAAGAAAAAACATTTCGGATTCCATTAAAAACCACATTTCATCTATTTTACTAAGTGATTTAATAAATTTGGCGTTTGATCAAACATAAAAAACGACTCTATCTTGTCTCGTCGATGTTTTTGTTTAATTTTATTTTACTCTTATTTTAGTCACTGTACCAGATATTCTTCTTTCTTTGTGAGTTAAGTGTTTATCCTGGAAACTTAAAAGAGAAATCTGCTGTGAATTGTTATGCCTAGGTTTTATTATTCACAATGTTTGACATTACGTATAGTTGAGGGACTTCGAAATTCATACTTCATACGATGAATAGAATTGAGTAATATTCTGTTCAAGTCGAAAAGAGCTCAGTACAGTGAATCAATTGTTTATGTAAATTTCGTAATAGCTGTTTACTGCATTCATTCATTTATTAACTTGGCTAGTTAAACAAACCGTTAGTTTAAACCTTAATTTGTATGTTAACATGAGTGAAATATTTTACAGAAATTCTAGGTGCCATACTTCAGAAAGGAAATTCAGCTTGACAACTGATTGGTAATGACATATATCAAGAGGTCAACAGATGTCGTAATAAGACAAAACACGTCACACGTATTCAAAGAAAACATTGCTCGAATATAGACAAACATGAAAAAAGAAAGTGGTCTAAATGTTAAGCGTTCGCGCGCAAGACCGATAGGTCCTGGGTTCGAATCCTGCGCGGATAAAACGGCCGTTCAGTACTTCCAGGTCTGGCTTCAATTGTCTCATGATTTCAGGTTTTAAAGATATAAATTTTGTTGCGGTCATTTAAAATGCTTTATAATGAAAACGCTATTTTTGTACATCGATAAATAGAAATTAATCGTAGCTTTATGAGAAATACAACTTATTAACAATAAGTCAGTGGGGATTTACTTAATTAAGTGACAAAATTAGTAAAATATTAATTATACTACTGAGTTGTATATAATTTGAGATAGAGTTATTTACCAAATTAGATGGTGGTTGGAGGTAATCGAAAAGGAAACCCTGGACCCGGGTGTCGTGCTACTTGGCACTCGTCAGCAAGGTGTACCCGTAATCTTGAGGGAACTGGTGCTCCCTGACGGATTCAATCCCGTGTCACTCAGCTTCACAATCAGAGACGTTACCACTGAGCTATCCAGGCCGTGACCAACCTCCTGTAGGACTGATATGTAATCACAATTGATTGATCACCCGGTGATCAATCAATTGTGAGAGATATTTATCAAAAAGAGTAGTGATGCATTTCATTTTACAAATGTATGAAAGACATAGATTACAAGATTCCAATCTGATTTTGATATATTCCAAATCAATTATCTGCTAGTTTCCATATTATCAATAACAAATACTTTTGTTATCATTTTGTTGTTATTTGATAAAATTACTAAATACTAACAACATGATTATTATAATATTACATTACATAATAGTAGAATAGCAAAATGACTACCAGACATTATTCAAACAATTGAAGATTTAAATATAAAGAAAAGAATTATCAAGTACGAATTCTATATTCAACATATTCAAATAAAACAATGACAACAACAAAAATTACTCATTTTTTCTAACAATTAAACATAAAACAAAAATTATGTAAATTATTTAATTCTTTAATTCATTATACTGTTTTTGTATAAAATCAAATGATATATTACTCCTACATACACAAAAAGAAAACACATACATTGTACATTGAACATAACCATTTGTTTAAATTTCCAAAAATCGAAAAAAAGAAGTAAATCAAAAATATTGTTATTTCAATGAACTACTGAATTTTTAATTAATAGAATAAATAGTTATTTTAATAAATATATGTAATGTTTAATATATTACACTTAATAGTAATTATTATTATTATTATATTCAGACAATTGATTAATTATAACAATAACGATAGCACCAACAGCAACAACAACAACAACAACGAAAACAAATTGTGAAAACAGAAACAAAACAAAAAAACTATATGAAATGTTTTCAATTCAATGATATGCAGGTATTATTTTCATTTGGAACCTGTCTTGTTTTCATAAGAATGTATATATATTGTTTTATATATAATTAGCTGATTTTATAAAATTTAATAGTTTGTTGTTTGCTTGTTTGTTTGTTTATTTGTTTGCTTTTCTTTCAATATGAAAATGAATATTGAATTACATTTAAACAAACAAATAAACATGAATGAAATTATATTTTCTATTAGAAATTAATCAACAAGTATTTGGAAAACAATAGAACCTTCATTGGAATTAATATTTACATGAATATTTTTTGCTAATGCATAACATTTTATCCATATGATAACATGACGTTTAGGATTACGAAAATGTACAAATACTAATGGTGATTGATAACCAGCTTGATTTAAATAAGGATAAAACATTGAATCATAAATACCATAATTTTTATTACACCAATCAATATTAGTATTTAATGAATTATGTTGTTTTAATGAATCACTATCATAATAACATATTTTACCTAAATAATCTGAATCAAGTTTAGTTAAACCTTCACATTTAAGTAAAATATTAGTATAATTATTTATTGGTATTGGTAACCAACCATAAATACGATTTAATTTTATAGCAAAACATGGTTTACCTTCATGATAACCATAACCATTTTTTAAATTACATGGACCAATTGAATTTAAATTAAAACGACATGGACGTCTCATATTTAATAATTTTGGATTATATTCACATGAATCAAACATACCACCAGTAATATGATATTGATAATATGATAAAAATCCAGTCATTTCATCTATCATAGATGAATAAGATACAGGATTTGATGTATGAAAATTAATAAGACTTGTTAAACTATTTGAATTAGGTATGATTGACAAACCAGGATTTAATTTTAATTGATTATGTAATCCAGTTAATTTAGGATAATCCGTTAATATTGTAAAATAAAATAAAATATACATATAAATAATAAAAAAAATACAAAGAATTAAATAGAAATTAATTAAATAAATAAATTTAATTAAATATTTTCTCCATAGAAATTGATTATAAATAAAATAAATATAATTCAATAATTTTTGTAGAATAAATGATCTGGATAAAGATCGATTGATCAATGAGATCTTTTTTGTTTTATATTTTCTAATATGAATATTAGTGTTTTCAATTAATGAACTTTCTTCAAACACTTCATTTCTAAACATATTTGATAGTAATAAAAAGAATGGATGTATCTTTTGATAAGAAATAGGTAATATTATATATGATATATGGAATATTATTTATTTATTTTGTGTTTTATAGAAATATGTTTACAAAAAATGAAATAATATTTATTTTAATTCTGTTTATTTGTTTATTAATTATAGAATTGTAAACATATATCAATATAATAGATATGTTTAAAAGGGGGTTTTATGGAGATAGATACGTCTTTATATTTCATCTTTATTATTATGTTAAATCTACAATGTTATGTGTAAATTTGTGTATGTATATGAGTAACCAAAAATGTATATAATAATAATGGATATATATATATATATATATATGCAGGGGGACACAAATGTGTAGCCTAGACATTTTTTGTAAAGATGTAAATTTGTTTTGTTTTTTCAAAAATAAATGAAATAGATAAGCTAAACAAAATTCGAGCTTTAATTATTTTTTTTAAATAATCTATATGTTGGATTATATACACTGGTTTATCAGTAAGATATATACATATATATGGAATAAAATATAGTGTAAATGGTGTTTTATCGGTTTACTTTAATTCTTAATCTGTAATTACAAATATATGTTAAGAGAATACATTACTATAAATACTAAGTCTCATCTGGTCAACTTAAAAAACCAGTAAATTTTATTTCTCAAGTTTTTTTATTTATCTGAACACATATGCACGACACAATAACAATGAGCCCTGGAGTATGTTTTTTATTTGGGCGAGGGTTGTGATACAGCTCCGGGGCGCCTAAATCGAAGCAGATGGTTTTCTTAGAGCGGTAAATCCGGAGCTTTGGACGTAAAGGTCTAATTGATAAGGCAGTGAAATAATGTCAGGTGGTGCTGTCTCATGCCATTTGTTCCCTCAGGATCTTGGAACCTATATCCGTCATTAGTTTAGAATCAGGATTTTCCAACTCTCCTAAGTTGATCCTCCATATCCACCAACCTGGTTTGGACACACGACATTTGCTTTTTGTCCCCTCAATTTCGTAAGCAGCACTCCCACCACGAGAATGTAGTGAGTAGGACTGTCTTGTCAATAGCTGTATACGCGCATTCATGTGAGTGTTTTAAGACGGAGAGCGGACTCTTCACATCATCTACGTACCAGAGCATTTCTCGGGTACCAGAAGAGTTGACAGAAAGTCTTTATAATGTTTCAGATAGAGTTATGAAACTACGTTACGATGCAGAAATAATTCGACTAAATGAAACTTCAAGATCTAGAAAAGATAGATACATATATACCATTGCCTGTTTCTAGTCACTGTCTTTAATTTTAGTGACTGCATCTTAGATAAAATAATAAAATAGTAGCGTAGAAAGCTTCCTAATTATCCGAAATCCAGTCAATTAGACACCTATATCTTATTCACTGACATATTTTATCTGTGTAAATATTTGTTTAACTTCCATGTTCCTTCAGTTTTTTTATTATAGACCCTAATATAATGAAAATTTTAAAATAATTGAGTAAATGAGATCAGTTAAGCTACTTATATAATTAACAAATAAATAGTTTTACATAGAAAAGAAATTCAATTTTAAACATTTTATTATACTGTTTTTAATAAGTTTGTGAGTGAGAATTCCCTTTAAGTGTGTGTATATACGTCTAGAAAGACTGTCATACCATTCATAATCCCCTGGAGTTAAAAGCATTAACTCTATATACACAAACAAATAGCGTTTTGCTTATTGTGAGATGTGGTGACGGATCCATCCCTGCATTAGGTTATGATTATGAACTGTTAGGATTTAGACTTATTCCAGTCCTTCCATGTTTTTAACTGTTCTCAAAATAATGTCAATCAGCAAATAAATCTACTTCCAGAAAATGTATTTGTTTTAAACATAAGCTATTATTCACAGTGTACAATATACACTAAGAATAGGGTATGAGTGTTATATCATGTACCTATTCAATATGGATTACTGTGATTTAATAAAGTATTATATTTACTGACAAAACATTTATCTTGAAAATGTACTATGAAAAATAGAGAAAATCTTTAAACAATGATCTAAACTTCACAGAACATAATCATAAATAGAAAAATTCAAAATAATACTACTTGTCGATTTCAATTTACGTAATACTGTGATGTGGGTTACTTATTTCCACACAAGTAGTATATAACGATGATCAGGCATAGAATGTATTTCAGTAAAAGGTCGTTGAGGAAAGTACGGGAACGGAACGCATTGGTATAAAAATGCATGAACAATAAAATCTGAGACAAGAGATTGATGTTTGCAACAGGAACAATCAAGTTTGTTATGATGGATTGATATTTTGCAAATTAACGATTTACTATATGGTTCTCAGATTTTATTAAAATGCTCTGTAATTTTATGCTCAAATACATTTGATTGTTCCTATTCGTCTTCGTGTTCACTACAATACTAAAGAATTACAAGGAAAGATGAAATACATTTATAAAATTAGTATAAATGATTAAAATTTTGTAATTATATCTAAAATGAAAACACTTTCACATAGATATCAGTGTTTATAAACAAAAGTAAATCATTGAATTTACTTAGACTAAAGTATAATAATTATTATTATTATGATAGGGAATAACGTTAACAGTTTATTTATCAGCTATATGAAGTAATAGTAGATAGAGTGTAATCCTTAAGTTAACAAATATCAGTAATCATATAAATAAATAAATGAAAAAAAATACATTAAAAGCTTATTAGCTACATATTTGGCTTTCGATTATACAATTGAAACAACAATTTTTTTTTGAATATTATCAGACAAAAATATTTTCATTGAATAACTAACTAAGTAACTAAGTAATATGCTAATTCATAGTTGTTATTAGTCCCTTTTTTGAACAAGCTAAACAAAACACTTTTTTTTGATTAGGTAATATAAATTGAAAGACAAAGTTTACTTATTTGTACTTTAAATAATTATTTAATATATAAAAATTGTTTTTTTTACCGTTTGTGAATATCAGTGGGAGAGAAAAATAACAATATGAAAACAGTGATGAACTTTTATTCTATGAGTTGAATTGTTTGATCATGGAGCTTTCATTGTACTTTTGAATGATATCATCAGTATAAACATTAGATAGAAGTGAAGTACTCGAATTTCTCCATATATATAAAACTCAAAGCTTGTTCTGTAGACCTCGATATTGATTGGTTCTAGCTGTGAAAACAGCGATCTGATTTTAGTTTTGGGATTAATCAAAAATGTAAACCTATAAAATATAGAATCAAGGATCTTTAGTTTTTACGCAGTGCAGCCTATATAAAAGTATTTAATGTTTGATATATATATTTTTTTACATTTTCAGTGAATCTATTTGTATAATACAATTTCTTAGACTAGATTAAATTTAAATGATACAGTATATAATAAGTTAACAGTGGTAGAACAAAAAATAAATGCTAATGCTTTGTATATTAGAATTCACTTAGTGTTGTTTGATTGTAACTTTCCATTGTTGTTAAGGTCTGCAATTGATCAGTCTCTTATTGACATATGTACATACTGTGCGTACTACCTCGATATTGCTTTAGGTCACAAGCTTTATAAGCAAAGATGGATAGTGGAATTCAGAACGCACGTTTCGTCCTATTTAGTATTAGTCAGTTGGATGTATCTGCATCTCAGAGTTGGTGTTCACTCTGGGACTCATTGTACAAGCAGGTGGTTATCAGGACTCAGTAGCTAAGTGGATAACGCGATGGAGTTTGAAGTTAACGGTACAGTGTTCGAGTCCAAGTGTGAACATCAACTCTGAGATGCAGGTACATCCATGTGACGAGTCCCAAATAGGACAAAACGCGCGTCCTGGATTCCATTGCTAGCCACTATCCATCTACATTTATATATTAGTTGATGAATAGATCAAGTGAATTTTCGGAATAATTATTACGAATGTTGACTGAATAACTAATAAAAACAATCAGGAGTCAGAAATCTACCGTCCATATACAACGTAGAATATATGATGTTAACATTTTTAACTGAATAAGTTTTTTTAAAAGTGTATGCTTATAGAGAAAAACGATGGTTTACACATATTGATCATATTATTTTGTACATCAAATATTGTTAATTGAAAAAATATTAGGCGATTGAAGAGAGCTATAGAAAGCCCTGGAATTGAAATTTCTGCTTATTTTAACTCGTCAAAAAGGTTTCTATGTGTATTTCTTAAAGAAATGTTAATCTTTGAAAATGATTCAAACACATTTTAACAACTATAATAGATTAATGTGTTACCATCATGCTACTTAAGTTATGAAATAAGTTGTCAGCGAGCAATAATTACTGTCATGTTTAATCTTTAGTTATCATATAATTCTAACTAATAAATTACCATGTGACTACCATATTAAACGAATTGATTTCACGGTACCCTTCTTTTGATGTTACATGTTTGAATGCCCTGAAATCAAGTTTCGTAGTTGTTAGCACCATTGACAGAGTTAATACTTGGTCTACAAAATATTAAAAACGAAATAAAACACTTTGGCTTCTTGAAACGAAGATAATAAATTCTAGTTAAAACATTTGAAGTGTTTATATGCTTCAGATGTACGAATAAATAATTATATACATGTAGGATACCAGTTAGAAAAGATGAAGTTTACAAATTCCCCTTTCCTTAGCAGATTTTTAGGATAACACACATCTAACAAATAATAAATAAATTCAGTATTTTTTTCTCTAGATACTATTGTCATGATGTCCTTGATATTATTTAACTTTATGTTTTTTTCGGAAGCTGCGTATTGGTTTCGATTACATAACCCGACTTT